GCTGAAAGAATTATTAATATAAAATTCTCAAAGGTTAAAGATTAATATAATCCAAACTTTCCAAAACCTCCAAGAGTACAACTTGGGAATCTATCTAGTGGACCTCTAAATTTAATCCCAATTGGAACTAAATAACTGAAAATAAAATCCAAACTAAAACATAAAGAGAAATCCTACGTAATCAGAGGAATGAATGACTGTATCTGCTCAGCACAATCAAGATCTAAGGCTGGAACTATCGAACACCTGAAAAATATAAGAGTGGGTCAGGCCCACGAACAAGTTCTATTCTAACTACAATCCAAGCAGAGACCCGATAAGCAGATACAGCCTAGATACCTCAATAATATCTATCTAATCCATACATATATATATATATATATATATATATATATCCACACTAAGGGACTCTCACTGGACTACAAAGGGGTCTCAACCTGAATAAAAGGCAACATGCAAAACGCACCAGAGGTGGGCATGAGTACCTAGACCTAACAGGGTACACCTCAACCGTCATAGCCAATTATGCATCCCAATATATATACGCTCCCTAACCAACAATCCTGAGACTCAAGCTCATATTGTGGTACCATAGTCATATATTTAAAATCCGTCCAAAACCAGAGTATGTCATTCAATTGTTCATTGATCTGACATAAGATTTCTAATCCAGTTAGTCACTCAACTTATTCAGCTGATCTGACTTAACCACAAATAACAATTAATCCAGGTAGTCACTCAACTTACTCAGTTGATCTGACTTAAATATAAGTAGGATTCAATTTTTACAATCTATTCCCTTATTCCAATAAAGTAGGCCTTAGCGTTTTGAGCTAAACCATCCATAGTATGCCATCGTCCCATACCGGTGCATACAATCCATAACATCCATGTAATTGACAGAATTTAATATAATAATTCAGCAATTAAAGTCCAACACATAAATTCATGTAATTGACAGAACATAGTTTAATAGTTCAGCAATTAGTAACTAAAACAATAATCTATATAATTACAGAACAAAGTTTATTATTACAACAATTAGAATCCAGAGTAAGTATAAAGCAAGTCTGATAAATAAATAACCCTATTGCACATCCAAAACAAGTTTATAATCATGCTACAGTCCGTTAAATTGTTAAAACAAAATTAAACAAGTTAATCATTTCTATCCATTAACAGCATGCAAGATTGTTTAAACTTCCTTACTGTTAAATCCATTAGCATAAAGACATTAATTATGCAATGTGGGTTCTAATACAACATAATATAATGTTTAGAGTCCTTACTAATCACCCAAAACAGTCCAGAAAAAATTAAACAATTTAATCCTTTATATCCGTTAACGACATACAAGATTGTTTAAACTTCCCTACTATTAAATCCATTAGCATAAAGACATTAATTATGCAATGTGGGTTCTAATACAGCATAATATAATGTTTAAAGTCCTTACTAATCACCCAAAACAGTCCAGGAATTTCAAAAACCCAAAACAGACCCTCAAACCACGTCCAATATCAAGTTTGGCATGAGAGCATGCTCTCATAAGTTGAGAACCGGCTCCCACACCTTGGGAGCCGGCTCTGTGGCCTAGGGAGCCGGCTCGCTCAATCCATAGAGCCGGCTCTCTCTCTCACAGAGAGCCGTTACCTGTTCTGGTTCGTTTTCTTCGCCTCTGACGACTTTACTGAACCTACTGTGATGTCTAATACAGTTCCTAGGGTTCAATTCATGTCCCAAAATTCCTCATAAAACATCTAAACTCTAGTATGCATCTTCCTAAGTTTTTCGACGACGTCCGTTCACTATCAACCTCCTACTGCTCAACCTTCCCTCCTCCTAGGTCCGTCCTTTAATCCACAGTCGAAACCCTAACTGAAATCTCTTATTTTTCTCACAATTCTCTCTCTGTTTCTCTCTATATCTCTGCACGTGAATAAGGTTCTACAACCCCTATGCAGACTTATAATAGTGTATTTATAGGCAAATATAAAACTTAAGTCCACTTATAATTAGAGACCGAAAACCCTAATTAAATCCTAGTCGGCCACAACGTGATTTCATAAAAGAATAAAACCCTAATCTAAGCATAAATGTAAATAAATCAAATAAATTCAATAAACAGTTAAATAAAACAATTTACCAATAAATTCAATTCAATAATCAATTAACCAAATAATGCAATTAAATACACCGTTAAACAATTAAATCAAATAAATAATAAAACAATTCAACAATTAAGCAAATAAGCAAATAATCAAACAAAAATGTAATAAAATAATAACTAAAATGCTGAGACTATCCTTTCAAAATTAGGGGTATTACACAGCCAGAATCGAAACTCTACGGGATAAATTCCGATCGCACCAATCTGGATTCAATTTTCAAAGATTAGGTTTTTTCTTCACGAACTAGTCTTGATCGAATCAATCTTGATCGATTCCCACAGACGGCACCATTAAAGATGCAAGGAATTTCTCTCTATTTTGACAAAATATCTTTACACTTCAAGATTTTTTTCTCCCCTCTTCTCTCTATTTTCAGCCTATTTATAGATTGTTACAGACCTTCTAGATATTTTCTAACTAACTCCTTGCGCTGGGCTCATTCATAGGGCTTCTCTAGTCATGGGCTTGATCATATCCAGCAGGCCTTCAGCTTGATTACTCAATTTTGGGCCTGACCTGCAAGAACTTGGTTTTGTCCAAGATCACTTACCCGGCCCGTTTCTCGCCGCATAGGCTATACCCAGCCCGTGCCGTTTTCGGCATCCTAAAAAATAAATAAAATTTTTTGTCCTAAATCTTTTTTTTTTTTTTTTTTAAGGCACCGTGTGTCTGAGCTTAAAATAAAACAAACTTAAGAAGTTTGGAGGTCGCTATGTGTGATGTTAGCATATGAAATACTTATATTACTCAAAGATGTCATCATCAATCAATTAACCTCACTTTGTTTTTAATTTGGAAAAATTAACATCAAGTCCTACTTAATTTTCTTATTAAAAATAAATAAATAAATTTGTCCTAAATCGTTTTTTTTTTATTTTTTTATTTTTTTTTAAGGCACTGTGTTTGAGCTTAAAATATTTTTTCGAAAAATATTTTGTGTTTCCGTATTTGGTTGTCCTAAAATATTTAGGAAGAAAAAAATATTAAAAATTAACAAAAATAATTTATTTGTCAATTTTTACATGACTCAAGCGACGGATCATTTTCAATCTTGACTTAGACCTTTATCAAATACCGAAAAATAAAAATATATATTTTATAAAAAAAAAAAGAGTATAAACTATATAGTGATTGGACCCAGCCCAAGTAATAAACAAATGCATAATCCAAGCCCATGTCCAATAGGAGTGCTTTGAACCGAATCAATGCAACAGCTGATGTCAGTAAATGGAGAAATCAGTTAGGCGATAACTCGAGGCAGGTGGCAAAAAAGTCCCAGTCATGGATGATTCGTCTGAATTCGTCGCAATTCCTCAAATTGTGGGTGAGAATTCGCTCTCTAATGTCTTCAATAATTTTTTTATTGATATTTAATTATATTAAAACTTATTTTGATAAAATATTTAATAATGGGTAAAGTACAGCAATACCGTCTGAGGTTTGTTAAAAGGATACCGAGATGAAAATTTGTCTATTTTGGGACAATGACAACCCTTCAAGTTTGATACAATTACCAAAGATACCCCAATGGTAATAAATTGACATTTCTTCCTTTTGACTTTTATATTGACTAATTTGAATGTTGAAATGACCTTTCTGATTACCTCATACCCATTACCATTTCTTTCCTTCTCTCCTCTCTGTTCTCTCTTCCTCTGCCCCATCACCAACACATACATACATACTGTCACACATACACACACACATACCCCCCATATATACACATACATATACTTATATACACACACAAAGCGGCGACGGGTGGTGGCGGCGACGGCGACGACGGCGAGCCGCCTCTCCTCCACCGTCGGAGTCATCGTTATCCTCCGCCTCTAGATCCTTCGAATCCGACGTGGCCGACTCTAGATCCGCAGCTCGCCTTCGATTCCATCGACTTATAGAGCCCCACAGTCGCTAATGAGATAAGTGCGGCAATGGTTCGGCCGGTGGAGGGCTCGACCGTGATGGGTGATGGCAAAGATAAAGGCGATGGGCTGGTTCGCGGCAGAAAGCGCAGAACAGCGGTGGACTGGCGCGACACCAGCGGGTAAGGAGAACTCGACTGGTGGAGACGGACTGGTTCAGCCGTGGATGAATCGGTGGCGGCTCAGATGAAGGAGACGGCGGAAAGCTTCGGCTTTGATGATATCGGTTGTGATGGAGGCGGCGGCGAGCTCAGTGATGTCATAGCTCGGCTGTGGATGATGGCAACGGCAAGCTCGGCTTTGGATGATGGCCGCCGCTGAGCAAGGACGACCAAAGAGAAAAATCCGGCGGTGATGGCTTGACTGTTCTATAAATGGGTTGCTCTTTCTTGCTTTTTTTTTTTTTTGGTGGGTTTGGCTTTGTAATTGATTGGTGGTGATAATTGGTGATGAAGGGTGAAGGTCTGCTAATGATGAATGAACAGAGAAAATAAATTGTCGGAATATGTAGGGGTGGTTGTTAGGGTGGAGATGGTGGCGGTGGTTTGGGGGTGGGGATGGTGGTGGTTGTGGATTTTAGTGTGGTGGTGGTGCCAGAATCTAGTAGTAGGGTTGTAGGATTGATTGGGTGCTGAGGGTAATTTGGTCATTTAAATATTTTGATATTTTATAATTAAAATTAATAAAATAGTGAAGGGTAAAATGAATTTTCACATGTTTTAAGATTCATTTCACAAGGGAATGTGGTTGTCCCATAATAGACAAACTTTCATTTGAATGCTTTTTTGACAAACCTCATGGATTGTCTCTATAATTTACCGAAAAATTTAAATAGGCTATTGTTTATCAATAAATTATACTTTAAAAATGAACAAGCAATTTCACATTATTATACTACGAGTAGCTAATACATGATATTTGCGGCGAAGATCAAGTCAGTGTCCAGAACACTTGGATTCAATTCGGCAAAAGAAAGTAGCTCCTCATCACGTTCAAATACTGACATCTCCTTCTCACCCAGCGAAACCCATGCTTCTATTCCTCCCTCTTTATTTGAATCCACCAAAGAAAATATATTCTTATACACAATTGATCCACCACCAGATACCCAAATTGGCTTCCCCCAACCAAAATCCACTTTGTAAAACGGGAGCCTACACTTGCTGCTACTCATATAAATATCAACATTATTACTACTGGTACTTTTGATTTCATATAGCTCGTTTGCCTCCTTGAAAAACTCTGGTACCACTAACAACCAGTCATTCACTGTAACATTTTTCGCGTACTTATTGTAGAATTGTGTCCTATTTTCCCTCAATTGAGTCACCAATCCATGCAAATTTGCATCCTTCCCATCTGTTACTGAGATCGTAAAGTACCATACAAAATTCCCAGTAGAATTTTCTGCCAACGGAGGGACCATTTTCGGACGCATGTTTGTGGATTGGCTCAAAATGGACGGCTTGAAAGTAGAATTAGGCGAGTTTGCAATTGATGCAGCAGCAGCCATGGCACATTTATAGAGCAGTGCAGTCACAACTTCGGTTCTGCTGGGATTTTCAATTTTTTTGGCTGAAGATTGAGAAATGATCATAGCCTTGAGTTCAGCTAACTTTGGGGCATCAAACACAAACCTCCTAGTGACACAAGTTTCTTTCCCCACCTTGATTTCGCGCACAACTACCGGATGGTCTGTGGAGGATGATGATGAAATGAAATGAGGGGATGGTACTAGTTCACCGGACTGACGTGCCATGGTGGCCCAGTCATTTAAGAAGGTGGTCCCGGTTGAACCGTCCCCTATTTTGTGTGACATGCACATCCCAATAGCTATTCCTCCGCAAGTGAAGTGAGTCACCTGAATGACCACTAGACTATGACCACCCTCATCTGAGTTGTTTTCCAGCAAACTCCTGGGAAACATCAACTGTATAGCCTCAAACTTAGGTGGATTGAGAATATCAGAGAGTTGGCAATGGATTTGAGCTTCCAAAAACTCGACACCCTCGTCGTTGCAATCAATGGAGACTCCATCATCTTTGAGAATTCCGGCGAAAGGGTAGTAGAGGGTCAAGGTTTCAGATAGGGATTTCTTGAGTGGATGAGATATGTTGTTGAGCGGGACATTAATATTGTTGGAGTAAAACAGAACTGAGGGAACATAGTTGCTACTACTGAGCTGATCCATTATAGAAAGCTTGTAATTTCGGAGGTGTGGAGGAGTTGCAGAGGAGGGTTTGATGATGTCTCTTGAGATTATCTTAACCTGCATGGTGCCCAGCTCTCCCATCATTAATGGTTAAGCTGCGTCTATAGGTTACATTTCTTTTGCGCATCCCTGCTTATATAATCTGTTAAACTAATTATTTTCTATATATAAATATATATGATACAGATTTGGAAACCGAATCACAACTCATTTGTCAGAGCAAGATTCCAGCATGAAGAGGACAAATTGAAGGGCTGGCTAAGCACCCGGGAAGGGACATAGTATATCTCACGGATTTTTAAAATCTTTGGAAAATCGACATATATATATATATTAAAATTTTCAAGACGATTAATGAAAAACAAACTTAGGATGGCATTGCAATTATAAAAAACTTAGGAACTTAGGATGTCACTACGTGTGGTGTTAGCATATGAAAATTCCACCCATGCTATAGTATATCTAACGGATTTTTAAAATCTTTGGAAAATCGACATATATATATTAAAATTTTCAAGACGATTTATGAAAAACAAACTTAGGATGGCATTGCAATTATAAAAAACTTAGGAACTTAGGATGTCACTACGTGTGGTGTTAGCATATGAAAATTCCACCCATGCTTATATTATTTAAAGATGTCATCATCAATTAATCAACATTACTTTGTTTTTAATTAGGGAAAATTAACATCAAGTCCTATTTAATTTTGTTTATTAACAGAGAATCTTGTCCTAAATATTTGTTTTAAGGCTCCATGTGTTTGAGTTTAAAATACTTTCGTTTTCTGGTGTTTGATTGTCATAAAATATTTACAAACAAAAAAATATTAAAATTTAATAAAAATAATTTATTTATCAATTTTTACATGTCTTACCCGATAGATTCGACCTCAACTTAAAACTTTGCCAAACACCTATATATACATATATATATATATATATATATTACTTAAAATATATATATTTTGAGAGAAAAATATTTTAAGTTGAAACAAACGGTAACGGAACCTAAATGATCAATGAGTCCTACCCTTGAGATTTTTTTTTCTTCATTTAAGTTCTATCTAAATACCCTTGCTAAATCGAAGTAGAAGTATAAACTGTATAGTGATTACTGGTTCAAGAACAAAAGGAACCAGAAGCAAAAGCTTAGGCAAAACCAAGTTACAAATGCATAATCCAAGCCCATGCCCGATAGGAGAGCTTTGTACTCGAATCAACGCAACAACTGATGTCAGTCAATGGAGAAATCGGTTAGGCGATGGCCTGATGAGGCAGGCGGTAGAAAAGTCTCAGTCATGGATGATTCGTCTGGATTCATCGCAATTCCTCAAATTGTGGGTGAGAATTTGCTCTCTAATGCCATCAATTTTTTTTTTTTTATTGTTATTTAATTATATTAAAAAAAATTTGATAAAATATTTAATAATTAAATTAAAAAAAATTAATTTATACTTAGTGCGCAAATAAACAAGTAGTTTCACTTTATTATGCATGGTATTATCAGGTATCACCTAATGACATAGTTGGTAACATATTTAGTGTATGTCAAACAGCAAAGCAAAAATCACTGCAACAAATAAGGCCTTACACTTGGATTGAATTGGGCAAATGAAAGTAACTCCTCATCACGTTCAAATAATCTCATCTCCATCTCACCCAACGATACCCAAGCTTCTATTCCACCCTCTCTATTTGAATCCATCAACGAAAATAAATTCTTAGACACATTTACTCCATCAGTAGATACCCATATTGGCTTTCCCCAACCAAAATCCACTTTGTAAAATGGGAACCTACACATGCTATTGCTGATATAGAAATCAACATTATTAGCACCCTTTCTTTCAAATAGCTCTTTTACCTCCTTGAAAAACTCTCGTACTACTAACAACCATTCATTCACTGTAACATTTTCCGCGTACTTGTAAAATTTTGTCCTACTTTCCCTCAATTGACCAACCAATCCATGCAAATTTACCTCTTCCTCGTCTGTTACAGAGATGTCGAAGTGCCACGCAAAATTCCCAACAGAATTTTCCGGCAAGGGAGGGACCATTTTCGGGCGCATGTTCGCTACTTGGCTCAAAATGGATGGCCTCGAAGTAGAGGGTGAGTTTGCTTTTGACGCAGCCATAGCACATTTATAGAGCAGTGCAGTCACAACTTCGACTCGGGTGGGATTTTCAATTTCTGCTGATTCACAAGTGATTATGGCCTTGAGTTCAGCTAATTTGGAGGCATCAAACACGAACCTCTTCGTGACAGAACTTACTCTTCCCATCTTGATTTCGCCCACAATGAGTGGATCATCGATCGGTGATGAGCCAGACGATAGTGAAATGAAATGAGGAGAGGGTACTATTTCATTACGACGCGCCGTGGTGGCCCAGTCATTCAAAAAGTTTGCCATGGTGGAGCCGTCGGCTATTTTATGTGACATGCACACGCCAATGGCCATTCCACCACAAGTGAAATGACTGACTTGAATGACCACTAAACTACGACCCTTGTATGATGAGTTGTTTCCCAGTAGGTCACTGGGAAACATCGAGCGTAGAGCCTCGAACGTAGGTTGTTTGAGAATATCAAACAGTTGGCTATCGATTTGAGCTTCCAAAAACTCAACGCCCTCATCGTTGCAATCGATGGAGGCTCCGTCGTCTTTGAGAATTCCGGCGAAAGGGTAGTAGAGGGTCAAGATTTCAGATAGGGATTTCTGGAGCTGATGAGATTTGTTGTTGGCAGTAGTACAGATGAGTGGGCTGTCACACACAATATCGTTGTTGGAGTAGAAGAGAACTCTTGGTACATAGTTGGGACTAGTGAACTGATCCAACAAAGAGAGGTTGTAAATTCGGAGGTGAGGAGGAGTTGGAGAGGAGGGTTTGATGACTTCTCTTGAGATAATCTTAACCTGGATGGTACCTAGCTCTCCCATTAATGGTTAATCTGTGTCTATAGGTTGGCATTCCTCATGTGCTTGTGTGCACATAAATATAGCCAATATATGTAGGATTAAAGATTTGGAGAACGAATCGCCACTCATTTGTGTGAGAGCTAGCTAGATTCCCTCTTGAAGTAGACAAAGGGCTAGCTTAGCAGCTGGAAAGGTTCATATTATATATCTAACTGATTGACAAAATCTTTAGAAATCTACATATGTATTAAAATTTGCAAGAATGATTAATGAAAAACAACATTAGGATGCCATTGCAATTAAAAAACGGACTTGGGGTGTCACTATGTGTGGTGTTAGCACTTGAAAAACCCACCAATGCGTTTGAGTATTATTTAAAGATTTTATCATCAGTTAATCACTCCGGCTTTGTTTCTATCAAGGTATCAGCCATGTATATAATTGTATCTAACATTTTACGTATGTGACTTTATATGATTGCTCGGCATCACATAATAATCTGTCTCAAGAAAGAGGTATAGTTTGACCCAAAATTAAATATTAGAAAAACTACCTTGAAGTGGGGACCGATCCCAATTCAGAGCATCTAACAGCCTTTAGTTGTTCAATTCAGTACTCCTCCAATTTTAAAATCATTATTCTTATTCAGCCTTTTAGAAAGGTATATGGTCCAGCACCACTCTCACTCTCTCTCTCTCTCTCTCTCTCACACACACACACACACACACACACACATTCATCTTATATTCCAATTTGAGTAGAGACTAGAGAGACTTTAAACAATTTACTATTTCAATTTTGAGTTATTTGGTCTTAATGTTTTTGACACTATTTGCGTCTATCAACTTTATTGGGTCATTAATTAATATATTGAAAGAGTAAGGGTTAAACCGATATTCTTTTGATGAATAGTTAAATCTTTTTTTTATTTGAAAGTATTGAACTCCAAAAAAAAATGTGATTAATTACTTAATTAATGTCCCAGCTTCCAAGACAGTCTCGTGAAAGGAAGCGGATTCAATAATACACAAGAATTGATTCTCTCTCTCTCTAGGCCACATTTCTTTGTCCACATTGGTGCAATGCAACTAGTCTTCCTTTGTTGGCATTGGTGCAACAAGTATCTCTCCCCGTCTCTCTAGGCATTTCACGTTTCTTTGTAGATATTGGTGCCTTTACAACTCTCTTTCTCTCTCTGCTATACATTTCTTTTCTTTTCTTTTTTGAAGAAATTGGTGCAAAGCATCGAGAAAGTATACAATAATGCAAGTTATATACATATAATATCTCTCAATAAATGGACAATCAAGAAAAATTTTAATTTATCTTGAGAAGAGATAAATTGAGAATTTTTAAGGTAAAAACATGGTTGAGAATTAGTTGGGGCACCACATAATAAATATCTTTCTAGCAAGCAATAAAATGCACAATTGTTCTTACATTGTAGAAATCCGATTGAAGTACCATGTCTTATTTAAATAAAATTGTAGTAATTCTCATTACTCTTTCTCATTATTTGTCAACTTAAAATTTAGAATAAAAGTGGTGCAGAGAAAGAGAAATGTTCTAAAGTACTGTATTAGTTTTAAGTTAAATCTTATTAGAATTAGAGCTTGTAATGGAGAGAGTTTGATTCAAGTTTGATCAGATCCAACGTCACTTTAACTTGTATCCAAATTGGGTACTTGGGCTTGGTTGACTTGTGTCAGGTATAGGTGGGCTGGGCTTTCTGCCCAAGGGGAAGTCTCATTTAACCCTGTTGAGTTGGCCATGATTTGGGTCTCCTTTTGAATCTGCTTTTGGGATTATAGCAGTTTAGAATTATATATACATACATTTACATCCGGAAATGAGCAATGCTACAGTTACCGTCATTGCTATTAAGAGGGAAAAGAGATTGCTACAATTGCCGACATTACTACTAAGAAAGAAAAGAGAGCATGAGTCCACCACCTCACACCCTCTTTATTTCTTAGTTGGTGTCACAATGTCGTCAATTATATAAACATTTTCAATATATAATTACATTGAGAATGCAACATGGAACGCATTTATCTCGAGAATGCAACAGTTACGCACCATATTACACAGCAGGATGCAACATTCTTTTGCTGGAACCTGACAAGCAATGAACTGAAAGTAGGGAAAAATACCAAAAAAGACGAGCATTTAGGACGCTCTAAAATCACTTAAAACAGCCATAAAACATTCTGTTGCTCGAATCAATAATCTTCCATCCGCCGACACCCCTTTTTCTTGTTCATTTTCTTTCTCCAAAATATTCTTTGGATAGTATCATGTTCCATACAAATTATTACCAGTAATGAAACTAGATAGCACAAAGCAAAACTTTAAAAGCATTGTCCTAATCTTTGGGAATTGAATCTTCTTTGTTTGACCTTTATTCATTTCCCAAATTCCGCATGGATGGTAAAAAAGTATACTATGGATTTGATTAAATCAACAGACCATTCACATAAAGCTATGTTTTTTTCTATTACAGGCCCTACTTGGGGAGTAACAAAATGAACCAATGACAATCCACAAAAATTCTGCCTTTCTGCAGTGTGCTACTGGTTTTGTGAAGTGCACATCTCAATCAGGAAAGATGAAATGGCCCACTGGAACTACCTAAATCTCTCTCTTCATCTTTCTCTAACCTGAAGACATACGACGGGGCCATATACAAGGTACAAGCACTGGTTCATTGCTTGCAGCATTCTTTCCAGCAATTTCTTCTAATTGCTTCCATGTGGCTTCACGTCTTGCTTTAACTTCTTCTTCCTTTAATTCATCTTCCTGAAACTTGTTCAAGCACTCCTTGAATAGCTCTGGATCAAGATCAAAGAATATTTTACGGATATTTAGTGTCAAACCATGAACAGCCTGATTCCAATGGTTCCTAGAATTCTTCTCCAGAGCAGGGAAGATAATGGGCAGTATAACCTCACGATTTTGTTTGATTAAGTTCTCGATATGATCATTGTTCCATAAAAACAAAGCTCTCTCTGCAACCTGGGAAAAAAAAAATAAAAAATGAGCATCAATCACTTAACACGATTCAGGCATCAAGAATGACCACCATGAGGAAGCTACACAATCAGAATAAGTTAATCTCAAGCTAAAGACACGACTCAAGTCATTTTCATTCAGGCTGTTCACAGGGATTTAATAACTTCAGAAACCTCGTTGTTTCAGTATTATGCCTCATTGAAAAGGACAATCTTGACTTCTTGTGATAATATCATCAAATATTATTTTCGATAAATGTCTCCAATTATGCCGCATGCAACCATAACCTTGGACTTTTTTCATTTGAAAGGTCTCGGAAATACACATGAACGTGTTTCCGCTGTTTATTTGTATAACTCCCATCAAGGTCCTCTTGGTGTGTCGAAATATAGGCAAAGAAGGTCATTTTAGGGAGTGGAGTTACCTATGTCTTTCTGAGTTCTTTATTTTCGTGGGTGGATGAGAAGTCGTTCATTCAGCCAGATTTTCATAGTTCCTCAAGATCACTCAAATCAATAGGTTATTTTCTTGTTTTTATTCTTTGTACAATTACTTGTCCTTGAGTTGCAGCCCCTTGGCACTCTTTAATAATATATTTTCTTACTAAAAAAATAATAATAATACAAAATAAAAAATATACTAGAATTTTAATATATTGCTCATTGAAACCCTAAGGAACTTGAATTTCAATCTAATAAGATAACATGTGCTAGAAGAGAGCTATTTGCATGAAAGCAAACAAATACCAAAGAAACTAGCAAAAAACAGAATTTTTTTTTTTCCCCTCTATGTATGTTGATATATTTTACGGAAAGAACACACAGAAAAAATTCTCGATGTTGATATATATTTTCTCTCATTCCTACCTTCAACATATTGCCCATTGATTTATACTTATCAGTTGTTAATCGTGCACATTTACCACATTACATGTATTGGTTGAATCCATCCCGTGGCATTATTCAAGAGTCACTTGTACCGTTTCGCCAAAGATAGATCAAATATTAATCAACACAAAAAGTATGCCTTGAAAGCATGCCAACCAAAATTTGTCACGCAAAGCTCCCATTTACGTTCTCTAATATCGGAAGGAACTTCAAATTACATTGGCCAATAAGTTAAATGGATGCATAACATCAATATTCCAAACTAGATATCATATCTAGCAAAGGTAAATTGAGATGGTTGCAACATTAAGGTCATTCCAATGGATGTTTACAGCCTGTTAGTTGTCCTACTCGTTCAGCTGATGTGCCATACAGACCACGTCAAACAACATTGGAAGCAAAAGAAGCAAGCTCGGGATGCATCGGCAGAGCCTAAACTATATACTGGACTGCTAATAATAGGAGCAAGGCATCATGAAAAATGATAATGACCTTGTCTGAAATTTCATGTCAAGTGAATCTCAATACCATAGACTTTTCATGACAAGTGAACCTCAATACCATAGACCTAGTGGTCATGAATCATGAAAATGTTACACTTTCATTATATATCTATTAGTCCATATCAACTTCTGGGTAAGCCTGATTTCATTGATCGTGATTTTTTTCTGCTTTGGATAAACAGCAGAAAAGATCACCCTATTGCAGATAGGATATCTGGGGAACAAAAACTAAGCAAGGCACATTACAAATATATCCCAAGACCTAGCGGATATTCCAAGATTTTTGAGAGCTGCTATTTTTAAAGTTGGAAACTTATGTAATTGAAACTAGGAATGCATCTCATGTAAAGTATTTTCAGTTCAGATATCAGCAAAACCCAAGAACATAGGCAAACAGGAAAAAACTGCAGTGACCATCATCAAAGTGGTCGGCTGATGTACTGATATGGTGGTAGATCTTTGTCAATATGGTTCTGAGTTTCACAAGGATTCAGCTTTTGGCTAATATTTAATAATTCCAAAGACAAACATAAGGCAAGGATGATGATGGCATGATATCCATTGCAATCTGGCAAATCTGCAATGATATATCTTTTAAGTGTATGTTGTTCACTGACATCTATAAGAACAATCAATTCAATGCACTTGCAACTAATGTAAAACCCAAGACCATTTATATATGAAGAGACTTTGGTTCCAACATTCAAGGGCATGAAGTTGGCTTAAGTCATTACATTCTACACATATTTAATCTCATCTTCAATGTTTACTTTCTAGTAGAGTAGAAGAAGTAAAAAAGGAAAACCATGCCAGAATGTCATCAAATCAATAGGCGATGCCAAAGCAATTTAACAAGCCAATAGTGTCAGACAAGTAGTCACCATTTCACAGTGAGATTAAGGAAGGTGGATAAATAGTAAATACATCCATGGGCTTGCTACAATCTCAAAAGGCCCAAACCACATCAACTCTGTAATGTGAGTACAAATGCAAGTTATCAGCTAACAACATATTATCTGAGGGGGAATTAAATTAAAACACGACACTTAACCAATATAGTGTCATTCTCAACAACCTTCACCATCACCACAACATCAATACCACTACACACCCCATGATCACCATCATCAACATAATTACACCACCACTACAAACCTTCACCTTCACCATCATCAACATAGACATGACAGCCACTATGGTTGATCCACCACTACTACCTCAGTCCATCCATTGCCACCACCACCAAAATTACATATCACTAACTACTACTACCAACACACCTCCAATTTTAGTATCATGCCAGACAATCACTGCTGCTAATGGATTAACTCTCTTAAGACCCCATAGCCATGCTACTTTCTCAACTTCTTCATTACTGTGCCATCACCACCATCACCTCTAGCAAATCATTTACCACCATTGCACCCTCAACTTGACAACTTGTCGTTACCACAACAACTTGCTGACTCTTTTATAACTTTTGGGACATTGCCATAACATTACCACAATCTTAACAGTCATCGACTTCTTGTTATCAACACCTACCACTATGCCATTGTTTTCAAGATCCTGTCCTTTCCACTACCTACTTATCACCATTTAACTCCAATTTCCATATTGAACGGAATAGAATAATAGGACCATCACCAAACATTTATCCTGCCAATACGCGATGTTTGAGAGAGGTAGACTACTCAAAATGTCTTCATATCCAATTCAGGTTCCAAATTCAAAGAAGAATTGAAAAATCTATCCGCTCACATTCTAGTATTCTACACATTTACAATTCTAATTCTCTTTTCTTTGAAGTGGAAATTCCAACATCAATTATAAATCTCTAAAACAAAGGCATCCCAACATTGGAGAGATAATGTTAAAATGCAAAATACAAGCGCAAAATGGTGTAGTTTGTGTATACATTACTGATCGGCAACCTTTAGATATTGTAGGGGAATTCAACCCTCACGGAATTAAAATAATACAATTTTTAAAACATTCACAATGAGCACTTATTGGCCTAAAAACACAGGACTTGTGATGTATATTTTGAAATGAAAACACATCTTGCACCATAAATCAGTTAGGAAAGAGAGAAGGGGGGGGGGGTGGTGGGGTTTGGGGTTTGTTGTGTTGTTGGTAGGGAAAGAAACATGCACAAAAATTGAAAATTTTGTACCTGAAAGTGCAAATTATTCAAGCAACGAGCAATTCGGCGAAACAAAGGCACCATACAGCGCTGGAATTCTGATGGCTGAGTTGCTTCTAGAACCTCCTCCAACTCACTGAGGAACAAGACTTCCTTTGAACTATTAGTAACTGGCCAATACTTCAACAAACCCCTTATAACAGTATCAGCAAGCTTGCAATCTTTCTCCACAAATTGTGTAATACAGTAAGATAACTGCTGATGGTACATTGCCAAGCACTTTGGTTTGTGCAGGGGGATTAGCGCCCGAACAAGAAATAGTTTGTGTTCTTCTTTCAGTGGCAAAGCAAATCCATTAATTATACTGCCCAAAATCTCTAAAAGTTCAGCTGTACCATTATGTTTTTCGGTCTCAAAAACAAAACGATAAAATATGTTATTGATACCTTTCCGGATAAATGGACGGTGTACCATGAATTTCCCATAAATTCGATGCAGAATCGTTTTCAAGTATTCCCTTTCTCTGGGATCTTCAGAGTCAAATAGATCCAGCACCTTGAGAACAAACGAGTGATCAACGTATCTCTTAGCCAATTTTGCATCCGTTTCAGGTGACGCAACGAATCTCAATAGAAACTCATACACGAGCTGCAAGTGAGGCCATGCAGGATCCATTGAGGGTTCCTCCTCTTCTAAATCAAAGGCTTCAAAAATTTTGTTATCACGTGGCTGAGGAGTAGGTGTCCTAAATAAATTTGTAGATACCATCTTTATAGCTTCTTGCATCATAGTTTCAGTGAATTTCCCATTTACAGAAGTCACATAATCCACAAGCTCTAACAATGTCTGCCGCTTGATCTCCTTTTCTTTGATGTTCTTTGTTGGATCAGTGAAGTCAAATACCACACAAGACATATTCAGCTTTCTGATAAACAAGTTCTGCTTTTCAGAGCTTGGAACATCCCTAAAACTTGGCAAAGCTTCATAAGAATCATAAGAAGCAATGACTGAATCCCCATTCAACTTCAAGTTCACACCTGATGAAAAATTTTCTCCTTGACTATATCCTATATATGAAGCAGGATAAGGGGCTGAAAAAGATGCATTGATTGGATTCCCTGAATTCTTATTTCCTGCATCGCCGTTCTTTGAAGTGGTAGAAGCATTTAAAATGGGGGTAGATGTTCCAGCAAATTCACGATTTCCAGCTGACTTCGAGCCCTTCCGAGAAAATTTACCAAGTATCTGTTTGATCATTCTATTAAACAAACACAAAACCACCCTCTACAAAACCAAAGGAACTATACCGATCTAAGGCAAAAACCACCCAAAGCTAATTGTGACCTAAATCTGCCTTCCCAATATCAATTAATCAAAAAACCAGAATCATTTATAACCCACATGACCCAAATTAGTAGCTGAAAAAAGCCGATGTTTCGCACTCAAAAACTTAATCTATGTCCATCAATCCGAAAACAAGCAAACCTCCATTATTTCTACTATTAACAAAAAAAGAAGAACCGAAGACCTCCTTGTCATCTGAACAGTTGAGAAATCAAAATCATCTCTAGAAAGAGAAAGCTCAGATATACTGTATACAGAAATCAAGTCTGAAATACAGATTATACAGACCAACCCAAACAATAAAATCTCAATCAGCCCAAATTGAAACCCTCTTCACCTTCGTGCAAATCCACAAATTTCCAAATTCCAAGTACTAAAAAGATTTGAGCTGAATTGAACACAAACACCCATATGTTTAATTGCCGATATCAGATATCAATGACAACATTCCACAGTAAAATTCCAAAATGAATTGCTTCTTCTACTTAGCAATAGAAGGTAATCGATGAAGTATATTCACCACACTCCCTTTCTTTAACAAATCAATACCTTTGAAAGGAATTAAACAAAAAAAATAAACATATCAGAGTATGGTTTTAGATGAATAAACAAACAATTTTTTTTCATTTAGTCAACAATGCATTATGCATGTCATGTACAGAGTTCGAAGAACGAAAAAGAGAAGAAAAGAAAACGAAACCCCAAGAGAGAGAGAGAGAGAGAGAGTGCTAGTAAATGACACTTACAGAGGCTTAGAAAGAAAACTGTAGAAGGAAACGCCGCCCAACGATTGTCTTTACTCTCTTCTTCTTTGTTGTTTGTTGACTGGGAAAATTTTCTTTTCTTTTTAGTAATATTTTCTTGTCTTTCAGCAATTTTTATTTATTTATTTATTTATTTCCGATCATTCCTCATTTCAATCAAAAGCCAGTCTTGGGAGTTAAGTAAAACTTTCTTTCTTTCTTTTTTTTTTGTTCCTTTTTTTTTTCCTTTTTAAGGCAAGGACTTACAAACATTTTACAAATCCCCCTCCAAACACTAATTGACACACAAATAAATACTCCGTATAAATTTTATTTAATTTTTTATTTTGCAAGTCAGCTAATAATTTGTAAAAATTATAATTTAAGTCAATTTTATATTAGTTAAAATTTGAATTTCTAATTTTTCTTTAGAAAGTAATAACTTGATATCATGACTGACCCGTTGATCACTTAAATTAATTTTTATTTATGTATCAATTAATAATTACTTCTTAATTAAAATTAATAATTCTAAAATTATACTTCAATTCCATTCATGTCATTGTAATATGTAATAAATTCTTAGTAATTTAGTGCGGACCATGTAATAATTAGTTCTTCCTTCCAATTTCAATCAAATGCGAGTCTTAATTATTAAGAGTCAAGTCAAAGTGGTCGTCCCAATTGTATTGCCAATTTACCACCACATGGTCCGAGTGTGGGCTGTTGACTTTTAATTTCTCTCTTATTAAAGGCAGTGTACATTTTAATATATGTTGTAAAATCATCCATTCAAGTCCTATTCAACACAGACATATCAACACGGAAATGTTTTTTTACTAATATATTTGTTTGAATCAAACTTCATATTTCATATTTCAATGTGAAATATATATGGACTTCCACCCCACCTCCCACTTCAAAAAATAAAGAAGATACTATAAAATTATAAATCTTAATATATAATTATTATTACTTAATTATAACTAAATATATATAAACTATTTAAGTACCAATAATTATAAGTATATACTTATTTAGTCGAATTAGTTATACATTTTGTGAAAAAAAAAAAAAAAAGGTTTGATTGTAGTTAATAAAAAAAAAAAAATTGTAGTCAACTTATAATACAATTTGAACTCGACCTTATAAGTGTTGAAATAAGCCCGATTTAAATCCAAATTGTCACAAGTACGGCCCAGAGGCCCGGACTTGGAAAAATCTTATAATTCCAATCTAAAATTTTAAATTGATTACGAGAATCTCTTACAATGCCACACTTATTTTGATATCAAATTACTTTGTTCGCGAGACAGTCCTTTGACCCTAAACAATTGATTGAAAACCATGCCGAATTAAAGAAGTATCCAGATCCTCTACAACACACTCAAGAGTTCTTATCACTCGCACGTGTGCATAATTACATATGTGAGATGTCAACGGTAAGTTGATGTGAATTTCAATCCCCAATAAACGGACCCTATCATGCTTAAACCATCACAACCCTTTTCATAATATCCAGCACTCCAAGCAATTCAATGGGATAGATAGATAGTACAGATAAGCATCATGAGTATTCTCAAAGGAATGGCATTTCAGTTGTTGATATGAGGATACCAAGTTGCCACAGAAATTGGAGAATGTTCAAGCTAAATCAAACCTAATGACCAAAAGGAACGAATCATTGTTTCGATACGATTCTCCATTTCACCATTCTAACGAATGGATGAGAGGAACAAAAAAAAAAAAAACCCAAAGTCTTGAGCGACAATATATCTGCACCGTGCTCATGAACCTAGTTTTATATGAATATATGCATATCATAATTACAGTTTTACAAATAAACCAATAGATTGTTCATCAGACAGATCAGCTCAAGAACACTACAATTAAGATTTTACTGCAACTAAATTGATTACAAAAAGGAGATCCATTACAATGATGAATAAAAGTTACTGCCACTGTTTTTAGCATCAAGGGTTTCTTTCTACAAGAAATAAAAGAATTAAAAAAAAAAAAAAAAAAATCATTAAAATTTCCAATGATTATCATTACAAACCAAATGCAGCTTTGTCATCGATAAAAGCTTGGATTGATGGTTCTCTTCCTAGAAAATCCGTCAGAATCTCTACAGGATCCTTTGCTCCTCCAGGAGCCAACACCTGTCAAGAGAATGAAAATATAAATTAATATTGTAATTTCTATACAAGGAAAATATATTTGAGGCATATCATATATACCCAAGCGCAGTGTGTCAAAGGAAGACTTTGAGGCAATGCTTTAACCATAAAATACAAGGAAAAAAAAAACAGGAAAAAATTTAACTAATTTGTCTAAATTTTGTTGGCCAATTAGTTTATTGAAGTAACTTGATTACCTTTTTCCTGAATTGCATGCCTGCATACTGATTGAAAAGATCATCACGAAACTTTGAAGCAAATATATCAGCAGCAAAAACCTAGAGAGGCATCAGTAACATTTATTGCAGGTGTCACAAATAAAGGAGCAAAAAACTCCAGACGAATGACAGAACAGTAACAAATAACGACAACGCATCACACATAGTTGAGTAATGAAAAATTAGATATGTGATATTCACACCTCATTATTATATTCTTGCACTCCACTTAGATTTTTCAATAAGAAAAATTACATAATTACACAAAAGTAAAGTGTATTAGTATTTTTTGGATAATAGTGGAGTGTGAGAGTGCTTTAAAGCACAAAATTATATGCCATTTCCCTTTTTAAAATAGGAGTGTGAATATCATTTGCCAAAAAAAGTCGATAGTCACAGAAAATGCAAGCAGGGAGATGAAATGTGCTGCTGAAAACATGGATTGCAAGAAAGGAGTGGATTCAAACCTCACTCCAAATGCGACTGTAGCAAGCAGCTTCATAGCCAATAGCACTACGTAGAAAACATGAAGCTGGATTGGTTCCTTCTAACATTGGCAATCCCAACATTACCTGAATAAACAGATTAAGATGTAAAAGTGGTGACCATAATTTTACCTTTATAGTTGAGAACTACAGAGGCAGCTACTACCTTTTGATGGAGATGCTTGAATAACCCAACCATGTCAACATTTTCGGTGGAATGTATGATCTGATCAAAAAGACCTGACAACAAATGCACGATTTCAATGACAACGATATACTTCTATACGCCATTAACTTGTACTTTTAATACAAAGTTACAAGTTTAACATGCATTGAACAGTTGAGTTGGCCACTTAAATTCATTTAGCCAGTTTGCAATTGGATTTGCGGACTTTAAACAAATGGATTGTCCAATCGGGTTTAGCCTTCCAGATTTCTGTTCTCAACTAACTGAATCTTTTACTTTACATCTTATAGTTTCAATAAAGCTGGTGACAGTAGTCCAAACAGTCGTTAGTGAAGCTAGTGTCTCTAGTCAGAGCATTCCTCAGTAACTGGATAGGTCCAAAATATTCTATGAATGACAAATAAGCAATGAAGGGCCGGCTCAACAGAAGCTTAGGCCTAAGGCAAAAAGTTTAGAGGAGGTTTTTTGATATTTAATGTACTAATATAATTAATACTAACTCTGTATATTGTTGAAAATTCTTATTTATAGTCAATTCTTCTTGATTGCAGAAATTCTACTTCATTCCGAAAAACTCGGTATTTTATTTACGAAATCTTTGTTGATTTTTTTATTTTTTATTATCTTTTAAAATTTATCAAGAGCATCTTTTTGAGATTGAATTAATTAATTCTCTCTCTGCTTAAGTTTTTCAGATCCAAATTGACATTTTCTCATAAACATATGTATAGATAGAATATATTTACAATCAAAATAAACAAGATTTTATTATGAAAAAAAATACTAAGATATTTACAATCAAAATAAACACGATTTTATTATGAAAAAAAAAAATACGAAGACTAAGATATATATATATACCAACGGACCAATGGCCTAGCGATACCGACCTTTTACTTCCCAAAGGGAGGTTAGGGGTTTAAGTCTCAAAAGAGACGTGTGTGTGAGTACCAACTAGGAAAAAAAAAAAGATATATATATATATTAAATAACAATAGGAGTTTCTATTGGCTTATAATTGATTGAAGGGCAACGTTGGGAGAAGCCTTGTCCATATTCTATTGATCGTGTGAAACTGCAAGAGTGTTGGATATTTTACAGATTCCTTAATCCTATCTTACATTTATGGATAACTTACAAAAGTGACTTTCTCATAGAGATTATTATCAAATTAAGATTAAGTTAAACCACATTATAAGTAGAGTTTACAAGAATATGAAAAGGTATGGGAGTAGAGAAATAATAGGAAGAGAAAGTCTAAAATAAATATAACAGAAGTGTGAGTTAAGGAAAAACAAAACAAAAAAAGGTGCAGAAACAAATTTGTTTTACATTGAGCTGGCACTGCAACTATGAAAAGAGTGAGCACCTCCAAGACGCTTTCACATCCCTTTATGGTTCTTCTCACATCTCATTGAGGAGAAAAATTCTAGCAAGCAAGAGCTATCGAGACCGGTAATCGTTGTTTCAAGTATGAAAAACCAGAAGTGATTGATGGATCCACTTGTCCATATGGTTGTTTGCATCAACTTCTAAATATTTACTAAAATGAAGATTCTCCTCTTAAAAGAAAATTCTGTTTTGAAATTTTATTTATAACTAGTTAAAGAAGAAAATGAAGAACTTACAAAATAATAATAATAATAATAATCAAATTGTTTATCAAAAAAAATTATTTTCAAATTCTAATGGATTTTCTCCATATATTTCCCTAGGGTGAAGAGTACGAACTGAGGTCAATTTTTTTTTTTTTTCTATTCACTAACAGAAGGATGTTATGAAAATGTCTGACCCCATTGCTAAACTGGATAGTTTTCAATACAGACCGAATTGCCTTGGCAAATCTGAATTATAAATACATGTAGCTTCTACTTTTTCTTATTGTTGCGGTAATTGAATATATCCTAGCCAACATTTCTTAACCCGTAAAAGGCCTTCCACATGAACTACACATCTATTTCCTCTATGTGGAGAAAAGTAAATTTTCAGTTTCAAGAAAGACATAATAGGACTTACAGTAAAGAATTTCTTGCTTCAATTTAAGCGCTGAAAAAGAACATCGCCACCTTTTCAAGGCTTTACATATTTCATCCTTGATGGGCTTCGTGATATCCTACAAATCGTAGACATAACAAATTAAATATGACGCAAAGGACCATTTTTTGAAATTGGATCTATCATGATCTGTTAATCATTAGGGGTCCTTGCCTGGGGCAATGATAAAAGTTCAAGCATAAATCTGAGGTCGCAAGTTCAAGTCTCAGAGGAGCCACTTTGTGTTAAATGATACAAAAGGTTAGATATGTCTCCAACGTCCCAGTAACCCGGGTAGGTGGGAGAACATACACCATGTAATGTAATGTGTAATATGATTTGTTAACCATTACAATATATAGGCTAGACTCACAATTTTATTACTAAAATTTACTGGTTGTTCATCAGATCCCTATATACAAAAGTATAAAGGCTTATGACACACACACAGCTCCTCACACACAAAGTATCATGCACTCTGGAGACAAGTTATTTTAACAGAATAGTTTAGAAAACCAAATATCAAGTCTAAGCACCATTCTCAAATATGAAAACATGACATCAAATTTGACAAAATAGTTGTGATAAATCACATATTAGAAGTCTAAGCATCATTTTCAAATATTAAAACAGACATCAAAAGCATGCATCACCTGATGGAAACCAGATAACAACTTTAGAGAAAGGCTTTCATAGCACCTGTGCACAATATTTCCAAAAGCATGGCGTCGTAAGTTTGTGTTCTTTTGTCTAATTAAAATAAGCAACTGTAAACTTATCAGCTTACCAGTTTTCTAACATCTGTGCAGGGATCTCCACGAAGTCAGGATCAAGTCGTAACCCAGAAAATTTAGGAAATGATGCATTATTGCAAATATGATGAACCTAAAAGCTCATCAGAAATGATAAATTGTTATTCGACACCAAAATCAAGCCACAATAGTCATTATGATAAATCACAGTTGCTTTGATAACAAGTCTTGACACTTGTCAAGAGGATACATTAGATAAAATTATGCACTTGTATTCAAGTAAAGCCAACAACTGTTTGAAACATTCATGGGTTTGATATATCATGACCTGCCTGAAACTTTTTAGCTCAGAATAGCTTTTATAGTGTAGAAAATTAGGTTTTTTTGTTTTTTTATTCCGATAGAGAATAGGTAAAAAAAAAAAATGCAAGGATAGATAATCTGGCACCTCATTTCTGGAGTACATTACATGTTTTTTTATTCCGGTAGAGAATAGGGGTAAAAAAAAATGCAAGGATAGATAATCTGGCATCTGACTTCTGGAGTGCATTACCCAAAAGGTGAATTCAAATAGCCACACTATTTGACAAAAATTAACTTATACTCTGATTTAATACAGAGACTTTTTTTTGGGTAAGGACACATTGGGTCAGAAGAAGGGTCCAAAATAGATGGAAGTAATAAAAGAAGTGGAGCGTTACAGAATGTTTGGGAGTGCAAATACCATTAGACTATTATAATAGGACTAGTAGAAGACGAACAAAATACTTCTAAAGAAATTATGTGTCAAGGTGAAGGTCAACATACCACATGGCCAAACTCATGAAAAAGATTAACCACTTCAGAGAATCGTAATAACCCAGGATGACCATCAACTTCCTTTTGGAACTGGGAAATAAGTAATGCCACGGGAATCTGGATACAAAATATAGCCAAACAAAAATTATTACAAAAAATAAAAATAAAATAAATAATAAATAAAAAAATAAAAACCATGTAATAAATTTGGTATATTTGAAAGTTGAAGTCTCCCATAAATTTTAAGAAGAATTTTTACATGCACATAAAGATGAAAACACAAAGAGCAGACCCGGCTCCTCATCAGAAGTGTTGGTGGTTCTTGAATGGTTCAAAAGGCGTGGTAGGGATGGCACTAGAGATGGTGGTAGTGGTGGTGTAAGTGCAGCTGACGGTATTGGTGGTGGCAATGTTAGCAAGGCAAATATAACAACTGTGAAGGAGATAATGTCACTGATTGTAGAACTAAGCTGATCAAGGTGCTAAGATGGTATGATAAAGTTCATGGTGGAGTGAGTGTAGGGTAGGAGTGTGCACAATCATAGAGGAGCTGTTATCATGGAAATAATATGAAGAAAGGGAATAATATATTTAACACCAAATGAAAAACATAACGTTTATATTTATAAAAAAAATTCATATTTAAAATTCAAGATGACTGATAATGAAATATAACAATCACCTGTCTGGCACTATTGACGAATGAACCATTTTGAAGAGCCACAACGCAGGTGTGACCATATTTTCCATCCCTGCTTACAGATACAACAAATTCATTTTATTCTAACTCATATAAGTTAATCAACAAAAATGTATTGACCCAAAATTAAATTCATAGGTAATAATTGAACCTGGAGTACATATCAAGGTAGAAATGACCCAAAAGTTCACTAGAACTTAAGTCAAAAACCGAATAAAGGTGCACATCACAGTGCCAAACCTCTGCATCTGCAACTTCCTCAATTCGGAAGCCTGCCCAATGCAAAGGAAAGTCAGAGCTCATCATATATGAGATGAAAAGGTTGAGTGAATTCTGAGTTCCAGAAAAATGAATATTATAGAATTACAGAAAAGGTCTTGACATATTTTGAAGATCCCAGACAGAACCAGATTGACAGGAAAGTACTGCTTAACAGCTGCAAAGTCCAGATCAAACTGTTGTTCCTCAGCCCTCTTCACATAGTATGGTAGATCCTCAATCCCAAAGGGAAAATCCCCTTCCTCTTTCTTCTGAAGTGTCCAAATACACAAATTATTACATGAACACTTGGTATTTGATGACATAGACCACTGAAAAACAAGCCTTTAAATACTTTTTTATAGAGTAAGTTCTCGACAGGACAAGTTATACGTAAACCCGACTATAACTAACCTTCAAGTCTTTCAATATAGTAAATTCTTTAGACGCGGAGTCAGTTAAACCAGCAGAGATGTCCTCTAAGAACTCAAATACCTGAAAATAACAACATGCTCATTAGGAAAAATTAGTTTCATAAAACAAGGGTTGTGAAAGAGAAAATACAATAAAGAGATCATCAAAAAATAAGAGAAATGAGAAAGAATAAAAAAAATTAGAGATCAATTGCACGAAATTTTAATATTATTCTAGATAATTCATGGTGATTTGTATACCATTATAAGCTGGCCCAATAATTATCTGATGACCGCAGGGAAGAGTGTTTCTTTTCCCTTCTAGTCAATGTTGATCTTTATTTATTATGGTTTTCTTACTAAATCAATTCAATAATAAGAAGATAACATCTCTAAAATTTATCAATTCGGGACCTTTCATTAAGCCATATTGTAAAATAATTCATCAAGGAAAGTCTTACTTAAATCCACATGAAATCACACCCGTAAGTTACATGTGAATTCCACCAATAAAGTTAGAAGCACCCATTTTGTCTATCTAGAGAAGCAATTTATGCGGATAAAGCTATCTATGCAATTTAGAGTTCTTTCATGTTTAAGGCATAGCTGCATAACCAATAAGTTTTTAGAGAGTTTGGTCGAGAATCATACTTTTTTTATTATCTGTAGAATAAATATTATTTTTGAGGCATCAATCCACCATTGGGACATATCAAAATGAATATGGGAATTGTTTAAAACAATAAACGGTTCTGAAGCCCATTTTAGCCCAATTGAGTCCGTGTTTATATTTTGAAGTTCCAAGAACCCAACAGAATTTAGGCAATCCTGTAGTTATTTGAATGACTTTAAGGCTCATGAAAAATATCTTATGCTATCACAAAAACAAGAAGCAAAGCTTTTCCAACTACTTGGGGTCAGCAACATGAATCTTATTTTTTCTATTCTGTTTAAGGTCATATCCTCAGTCAAACCACATGGTATCATATACTTCCTAACCCTACCCATGTTAATTTTGGTATTCCCATTCCCCTGGCATTACTCTCATTGTGGACCCATGTCACTCATCCTTACTGGTACATTTAGTGACCTTCTTTGCACGGCCAAATCACCTTAATTGATTTTTTTGTCTTTAATGGGTGCTACTTCAACCATCTCACAAATGTGTTCATTTCTAATTCTGCATTTCTTGTCTTCCTGCATATTCATCTCAACATTCGCATTACCGCCATGCTCACTTTGTGCATATGTTGTTTCTTAATTGCCCAGCATTCTGTCTCACATAGAATGGCTGGTCTAATAGTTCTTTTTTTTTTTTTTTTTAAATCTTCTCTTTTAATCTTATAGGGATACGTTGATCACGCAATATTCTAGATAGACTCCTCCATTTAACCCATCATGCCTTGACTATATTAGTTATTACCATCATCTCTAATTTTTGATATGTTATTACCATCATCTCTAATTACTCTTTCACTGTGAATAATTGAACCTAAATAGTGGAAACATTGACAACAACTCCAAAAACAAGGCAACTAAAATTTGAATTCCCTTGTTAACAAACCAAACATAAATTTGTACAACTAAAATGTCTGGCCACCTCTCAAAGTGGTAACAATTTAAACTTCGCATTGTACAATTAGCCCCCACCCGCACCAAACCAATGGCACTATAAGTTGGCATGTAAAAATGTAGACATATACATGGGTCTCACACAAGTGGGCCAAACTGACCCAACTTGACTGCTAAAAGGAACAAGTCGATTGATTGGGCAGCGTGATTAATCAACGATCAAATGATCCATCAAGACAGGATGAAAACTGAAAAGATGTACTCGAAATTACACAAACATAGTAACCACGAAAAATAAAAAATAAAAAAAGTTCCCTAGTTGGAACATCTAAAAATTGCTCCATGTAGTACAAATATTGCTAAATTAAAAACTATGAACTAGTGCAAACCTTTGAGGATGACTTTGCCATTCTAAGATCAACAGCATAATCTGCATAGTTTGAGTAGCCAAGCAATCTAGCAAATTTATGGCGCAATTTTACCTACACATATGATACAAGATCAATGCCATCTGGCTTTTAGAAACTATCATGCATCCAAGTGTATGACAGCAAGAAATGTGAGTATACAATGAGTTATGACATAGTAAAACATATATTTATTGTATACAAATTGGAATGTTCCGACTTCCAACATGGAAATAAGTAATAAAAAAGACTGGAATCCACACATGCATAAGGTGGTTTCTATTGCTTCGTATCAATTACTAGTCACACCTTAATTCATTCACTGCAATCATATTCCTGTCATGCTATCCAATAGCATTGGATTTCTAGTCATCAATAAAACTACAAGACTTGTAACTATGTCTTTGAACATGCTATTAATTTGCAATATATTCCTCAAATCACCTAGAGCCCAACATTAAAAACTTTAAATAATTTCAACAACTAAACAATGCTAGCAACAGCTCATTGTATAAAAAATATGAAAAGATGAAAAACTAAACATTAAAGTTAAAACTTAAAAGAGGGGTTTTTGAATATAGTTGATATAATAAAAGAAACGATCAACAAAAACATCATCCTTTTTGTTTTGTCCCTATCTTTTACGACTTCTATAACTAAATAAATGCATCTAAAAGAATACAACTAAAAGATTTAATTTCAAATTGAAAGATATCTTACTTCTGCTTTATCTTCCTGTAACTAAAGAATTTCGTGCTTTAACTTAATAACGGGGAGAATTGGTCTAATTAGTGCAAATTTAGCATAAACAAAACTTTTGGGACATGTTGGTTGCATTCACTTATCAATTGATAGACAATCTAATAGATATATAAAAATATGTTGACTGGAGACAAACTAGTTATAAAAAATAATTAAATATATGATTCATTGTTTGGTACAATGGTGAAAGTTCATACCGTCAAGCATGAGAACAATATTTTAAATACTGAGAGCTATTTTATGCAAATTCATACAAAAAATTAGGTCTATATCAAATTTACTCCCAATTCCAAGCAACCACCTCCCAGCACCCCGATTAAAAGACCACACAGGATAAAATCCCTTTATCCATAAAAAGGCAATCTTTTTGAAACTAGTAAAACAGATTCTCTAAATTTTAGTTATATTTTTCATATTAACCATATTTAAGACCTAGTTTGCATTTGATTATATAGATTGCATATTCAACCATCAGGCCAAAAGCTAGATTTTTCTTTTTGACAAGTAACACAAATCATAAATGTTAAAAAAGAGGAACTGGATTTCTTTGGAGTAATAATAATTAATCCAATTATGATTACGGTACTCATTTAGAAAGAAACGTAATAAATGCAAAGAAGAGGCATCCTTTAAAACTTTTAATTTTTTGTTTTTTTTTTAAAAAAAAAAACTTTTAATTTTTCATTGCACTATATCTGCTGAAGCATTTTAATACTCGTATAAAAAATAGAGATATACAAAGTAGCACTAATTATTATGGTATTAAATAATGATGAGTCAGAATATAAAAACTTTGGTAGTATCAGAAAATAAATTTGGATTTATGTCAAGTAGGTCAATAATTTCAGGCTATTTACTTATTCAGTCAAAAGACAAGACCTGAAAGAACAAGATGCTTTGTTCCGTGGATCAGAACATATATACACCCAGTAAAAGAGAGAAAGGTTGCATTACTAAATGACAGGACATGTACCATGCCCAATCCATTAACAAGTCAAACAGCAGGAAAAAAAAAAACAAAACAAAACTTTCAGACACCAATGCCGACAACAAGGTAATGGCGAGCTACAAATCAGAAAATAATAGCTACATTAACAAGCAACTTGAACTGAACACAAAAGTAGTGAGCAAATGTACAAAAGAAAGTTAAATAGTAACACGTTGTGAAGGAACAAAGTTTCTCAATATTGTGATGGTAAAACAACACCAATTTATATCCAATTATGATACCAATTGCAAAAGAATTGTCCATTCTGCATTACCAGACTTTCTAAGACAGAAAGATTGACTTCACATCTCCGCCCATAGGAGACAGCTACAACCCGCCTTGTTAATCCTACCTTCACAAGCACAAAATGGAACTTGTAATACTCCCATATATATAATATTCTATAACATAGTAGAAAGTAGAACAAAAACCGTGATTTAACAAGAAATAAAAGGATATGGCTATGCACTGCAGAAGGCTGCTAAAGTGTATGGGAGTGCTCAGAAACTATGCTCCAACAGGAAAAATAAAAAATAAAAATAAATAAATAAACTATGACCCAAGAAATCAACAAAGTATTGGAGGAGAAAGAAACCCCCACATAACTACAAAATAAGGGACTCAACAACAAATGAAATAAGTAACTCACTAACAAATCTATTGACTTATGAAAAGCCGATCCACTCATTCAAAGGTCCACTTATTACAGTCTTTCAAAATATTTCCATGTAACGCATAATGTTCTTCCTTTTGCTCCTCCCTGGCCCTTTTATTAAAACAGAAGCTTTGCCCTTTACCTACAAACTAAACAACCGACCCAGGAATCACACTACGTCTGGAGATCAAGAAAGAATAAAAATGAACGTAGCTGAACAAGAGTGTTGGAATGGAAGAATAACAATATAAAGAAAGAAAGAACAAGAAAGAGAGAAATCTTGGGAAGGTAGGAGTGGCACCAGTTGATGAGAAAAACCGCCAAACGTGATTTGACCATGTACAATGCAGACCTGTTAATGGTTTCACACACCAATAAAACTGTGACTAAAAGATCTAAAAGGAAAACCAAAAGAACATGAGTTAAGGCTATGGGAAAGGATGTTGTGGGCTCGAATTTGGTCAAAGACAAGGCTTTACCTAGAGTAGACCAGCAACAGTTCATGTAGTCAACCCCCAAAACACAATTTACCCAAGTGAGAAAAAAAAATAGGCAAACCAAAATATCCAGGATTGTAATATCTTAATTGAGGTAAGCGTACAAGCATTAACAAAGACTCACACAAAATGAAATGTATCCAGAGTAACCATTTGAAAGAGTCAACCATTCGACGATGTATTACTAAAGATACAGGGATAAATAAAAGGGTTGACACAAAGAACAGAAGAAGAATGTAGTTGATTACATAAAGCTGGTCTTAAAACTAAATCGAACATGTGAAAAGGACAAAATGTAGACAAAGAACATGGTTGAAGCTCCTGATAAAGGACATGATTGCCTTCAATTTAACCAAAGATTGATTTTACAAGGAGTTGTTTGGAAAACAAAAAATCCATGTAGCCAATCCAAGTAGTTGAGGCTCGCTGTTCTCCACTCTTTCATCTAGATTTCAAGACTCCATCTTTTCCAACATTAACCAATTTCTTTACTCTCTTTTTTCCCCAGGCCACTGTCACTCTTTCTAATTTTACTCTTCCTTTTTCTTTTTGATAGTTTCCCAAGATACAATATATATATAATTTAAGAAGGATAATAACAAGAAAATGCATGGTGGCAACGAAAGGAGGATGTTCCGCAAACTGGTCAAGTAAAAATTTAAAGACTGTTTCTCATAAAAAAAATATATATTAAAATGGAATACTAAATAAAGATAGGTAATTGGAATTCTAAAAGAATGGGCAAAACATTATAGAAATGGGACCTAAAATTACCAAACCTTTTAAAGAGCCACACTAACCATTACAGCGAAATTAGACTCCCGTGTTCTCATGAATTTGATCATTTTTTACTGCTTCAACCTATCCAATATCATTTGAACTTTGATCCAGGGAATGGGTCTATCCAAAGAATTTCTGAAAGGTAGCAATAAGGTATTTCAACCCCCTTAAGCAACATATAGACTTCTTAGTTACTAAAAATATGACCGAGCCTAAGAAATTTCACCATTATTTAGATCATTTGAGTTTCTCCCCAGCTAATTAACTAACTCAGCATGAAAAGAAAAAGAAAAAAATAAAACTTCTACTACTAGTAACAGTATTAAGAGAATTTGTGATGCCAGAGAACTAAGTTTAGAAGACGAGATGGAAGGTTGGCACATTTTACATGATACATAAAGTTTGTACCTTACAGAGCTCAAGCACAGGTGAAACATGATGACTTCTCAAGGTGACCTTGAATTTACCAGTTCGAGCTTTTTCTAAGCTCTGCACAGAAACATATCCAAAAGTTATTGCAGAAAAAAAATAATAAAAAATAAATAAATAAATAAAAAGGAAAAAGAAAAAACACAACAAATGAAAATTGTTTGCTCATTTAAAATCTGCTACTAGTTTAACTTAACACGCAACCATATGCACTAAAAAAACAATGGGCTGGATAAAGAAATAGAGAAAAAGTTTAAAGATAATAAGTGCTAAAAACATTACAAGTTGGCTTTGGACAAGCCCAGAACTGTTCAAATTCCAACCTGAAAACCTAATTACTTTAATTTACAAAATTATAAGATACTGCAGTTGGATGCACACCATTTAAATATGAGTGTTGTGCCCATGAAACCAGGCAGGTTGAAATCAAATTTTACCAACTTTACTCTGTCTCAGAAACAAAACTACCATCTCAAACTAATTATATGACAGCATTTGTGGGTTCATGGCATTCATGTTTAACCAGCCAAAATTTTCATACTTCAAAATCCAATCTTCATTTAGATCTAAATGAACAAGAAAAATATGATATATCTAGTGAAGGCATACAATAATTGATTGGCTTATTGCGTCCAAGATAAATATCAAACCATACTTTAATGGTGCCGCTCTTCCACCTTCCACAATGAGTGATATTACATTCCACATCACAAGTGAAGAAACGCATATCAAATTACACGTTACAATGAGTGATGTTACTTCATCTGTAACCAAAGAAAGCGAACCAAGGTACACGCCAGAATTTTAAGGTGCTAATTTTAATCTTCCATTTTGAGAGATTTCACTGCTAATAACCATGCACCAAACAATAGATCATCCCAACAAAAATTAGGTAATAAAATTAACCAAATCATAATTATAGGAGGAGAGAGTTTAGAAAATTCTTCACAAAAAATTGCTCATGCATTCAAGATGGTACGATTGGATAATAAGAGAAAATGATGATATTTAACCTTCAGAAACTCTGGTGGTAATCCAAGTAGCTCTGTCTCATTGAAAAGAAGAGATGTACTGTCATCATTCAGATTTCGGATATATCGCATACTTAGCTCATCTATTTGAGCCTTCAACCGCTGCAATTCCTCTCTCTTGGTTAAGGTAAGATTCAATCCATTGCGTTCAAAGTCTCTAACCTGTCACTGAATATTACAGAATAAATATTTGAACCTAACAGTTGAAACAGCTTCAAATAAAACTTTGTTTCTTAAATTAGGAATACAAACCATCATCGATAACAAGCAATCAAATGGAAGGAAATGTAGTTATTCTAATAATAAATGAAAATTGTACAAATACTTTGAATAATTCTCAGAAATGAATGTGTGTGTGTGTATTTCATTACACTGTGTGTGAACATTGGACAAATATAGATAAATGGAAGAGTAGAATAGATCAAGGTTTTATGCTGTCAAATTACAGATCTTCTCTTGCATTATTATAGATTGATGGCCAGCTTGTTGAGGAATTGGGTCTTAGCTCTAGAATGGACACACCCATGGAAACTAATTCAAGTCAGAGTGGGGTAACTCAAATAAAATGGAGGAGCAAGGAAGTGAATTGGTGGTAATCCAAGGATCATGAGCTCCAGCAAAGGGTTCCACTATGGCTTAGAAAGCATTGCTTCTCAGTAGGCTAGACCATTTTAGTAGGTAGTCAGACAATTGAGGGGACTTGGACTATGAGGGACAAGGGTTAAGTGTCTAAGATCCAACTACAGTATTGCACTTAAGGAGGTTTGGACTATGAGGGACAAGGATAAAGTTTCTAAGACCCAACCAAAGCATTGCTAACTGTAGTCCCCGTGGAGCCTATACTATCATGTTCAGATTTAGACCTTATGCATAAGCATTTTATCATGGGCTCCTTTACACCAACAATATGACCTTCCTAGAAACAATACAGCCAATGACAATCAACTCTGGTCTTCATTTTGATATCCACTACATTTTTCAGATGAATTATCTAAACCTTCCAAAAAAAAAAGTAAACAATTGGAATCATCTTCACAAGTTTGATTATGTGATGTTTCATCCAAATACAACAATCCAAACATACAATATTACAATAATTATACTTAAAATCCATCCTAGCTCCAGCACCTATACAATCATAGGTACAATACATACAAATGGTAGACTGTGAGATCAATCCCTCATTTCCCTTCCCATTTTAGCAACTTTTCTAATAACAAAATAAAACATCCACACACTAAATGAAATACCCACCTCAAAGATTATAGTATATAAATGTTAAGAGGGGAGACTTGTCCCACATCGGATCCGGATGGGAAGTGAAATGGGTATAAATGGGTTGGGTTTTAGCCCCACCTAATAGCTTAAGCTTTTGGGTAAATGGGCAAGCGCTCACCCGTTACAGTTAGTATTAGAGCCAGACTCAGTCTTTGATCAGGTGCCACGCCAAGCGCTCGACCCAGAAGACGTCCGGGTGTGCCATCCGGGTTGGCAGGGTGGCCCAACCGCAACGAGGGCGTTGCAAGTTTGCGTGGGGGAGAATATTACAAGGGGAGACTTGTCCCACATCGGATCCAGATAGGAAGTTCAATGGGTATAAGTAGGTTGGGTGTTAGCCCCACCTAATAGCTTAAACTTTTGGGTCGAATCGCAAAGCACTTACCCATTACAACAAACCACTTTAAACTTTATAAAAGTTGGCTTCAAAAGATACCCCTCGAGAAGCACGCCTGAAAAAACAATTTTTTGATCTGCAGCTTTGTAGAAAGAGAAATAAACCTACTTCTGAAATAAATGACCTAAATATCTTCAACAGCATAAAAAGATGGAAGAAAGGCAAAGGATAATATATTTTAATCTTAAATCCCTTAAAAAGGCTTTGGAAACTTTTTATGGAAAGAGGGGAGGGGGGACAAACAATAAAAAAAGGAGTTGACAGCTTACTGAATCACACAAATCGTGCTAGAATCATGAATCATGTGAGTCTCTTTTGATTCACATTGATAAATTGAGATTTCTTACACTATTGGAATTGCCTAACAATTCATATCAAAGATGGGTAGATTTAGACTGAGTCAGAAGATGCGAATTGTGAACCGTAAGGCTTTAACAACTATGGAACCATCCTCTTTGCTTCTTTATAGGTTAGGGACTTCATAATAGCTAGGGTTATGACTAAGTTGAAAAAACATTATCAACATTCAAAAATAATCCCATCCATGCATTTTCAAACGTAACCCCAAACTACAGGCATTAATGGAAACAAGCATCTTATGCAATAAGACCTCCTCTCAACCATAGAAAATCCAAACCAACATCTTTTGTTTTCATTTTAAGTGGTCATACATTTTTTTTGGATGAAATTAGAATATTAGCATTAATACTCGAACAATAGCAACATGTAAAGGTATTGTAAAGGTACATCTCCAAAAAAAAGGTCATTGCTTGGTGCAACCATAAAGGTTGATCTATATTACAACAAATGCCATGAACCAAGAACAAGTCAAGAATCACGATAGAAAAGTAAACACTTCACACACAAAGATTTACGTGGTTCGGCATAAGCCTACATCCACAATGAAGATCTGACAAAAGTTTTCACTGTGCGAAACAAGAGATTACAAGTTTCAGCCCCAACTCTCTCTCTCTCTCTCTCTCTCTCTCTCTCTTTCCTGTGGTTTTCAGTGTTCTCTCTGTGGCACTCCCCAAATCCTAAACTCCCTAACCCACTTGGCTACAAGAGAGTTCTAAAGCCGTGTCCGCAACCCACAAGAGCAACCGTGGCTTTCCCAAGTCGCAACACAACCGAAGCCCAAACAAAATTCAGGCCACAACATCACAATCTGAAAAGCATGAACACACAGCTCAAATCAAAGGACAGTCATCCCATGCCAATAAGGCCAGAATTTGTCTTTTTACACAGCATAAGCTCCCTGCACTTGAATTGATGTGATCATCACAAGGTAATTGCTGTTTTCAATAAAACTCGTGGCATATGAATGTGTTAAACTAAGCAATCTCAACGAAATATTAAATAGATCCATGCTAGGCTTCCCAAAATTAAGGTTATAACATTAATAATGACGCCTGAAGGTCATGATCATCTATCAAAAATCATTCCATTATTTGGCTTCATTTTATTATACATATACAATCACAAGTCACACAACCATAAATATCCAGTATCTAAGAGTGGTAGTAGATAAAAGCTCGAGAGAACACTGGTGTCAGCATCTAACAGCAGGGACACAGTTTGATAAGTGACATAGAGATTTTTTGAAAATAATAATAATATTTGAAATGAATTCATGCTTTCAATTCTGCATGTAAAAGTGAAGTGCATATACAAAAATGGAACTGTTGGGCATAACTGAAGTTAGTATCAAACATTTGGAATGCTCAATTAACAAGTAAAATGAAGTACATATTTTAAAATCCAGCTAAACCCCCCAGCAAAATGAATATGGGAATGAAACAATAATACAAAGCAAATGATTTGAGAAACTCATAATAATAAATAGCGTGGAAAGAAGCAATTACAATTCCGTACCAGACACTGAGTATAATGTTTAGCTTCAGGGCTCATCCATTCTCCCCTTGCAACAAAAGCTTTGACAACACGGTACACATCTTCACGTTTACTGAACAGCTTGCATGAAATAATGGAATTTAAACATCCAGTAATGATAAGAAGTCACTTGATATACTCTTCAAATTACAACATATCTATTTTCTAATAGGAGTGTTGGTTACTTGGACATGAAATGGAAGTAGGAATAATGAGAACTGCTCTCTGGTAGATAATGTAATACAAAAGCCCTCATACAAGAAACACCCTGAGCAAATTTATTATTAGAGAACATCATCTAGAACTTCTCCCAACTACTTCTGACCAACTAAACTTCTTACATACTCAACTCTGATCTTATTTATCAAAAATGTCCTGGTCTTGCCCTGATTACGTTTTAAACAAACACCCTTAGATCATTCCTCACTTCGTTAAGCACATGTTTGTTAGTCCTGATGATCGTTACAAAGGTTTTTATACGCATCAACAAGTTCTGTCTCATCATGGCCTTCATTCACTTTGAAGATTTGCCATGTTTTCTCTAACACTTCCCTAATTTCTTTAACCCTTGATAGTGTCATCTCAAGAACCCTTTTTTTAGGTATAGGCTGCCCAGCGAAACTAAATCATAAATCCTATAGCTACCTAGCAAAATAATATTTTAGATGATGAACATATTTTTTGTACTTAATGATTCATGAATAACATCATTAAGCCATTCGAACAACCTTATTGAGATACTTTATGAGACATCTCAACGAGAGAACTTTGAAAGTGTTAAATGTCTCACATGCGATAGGAATCTAAATATAATTATGTTGCTCCACCAACAAGTATTCCAAAACCTTGCCATAATTAATGTCTTCCATTGGTAGAGAACCGCAGGAGGACACAGATGGGATTAAGGTGGTTCTTTCTATTTCCATGTTTTCCTATTATATGGGAAAAAAAATCAAAATAAAGATAGAAGACCTCTGAGCCTCTCTTACTACGACCTCTACCCTTTGGCCGGCCATGTCACAAGCATACCGTAAAATCTGTTTTCTTAGAGTTTCATCACTAAGGAACAGGAGCTCATTTATTTATTTATTTCCCTGTCCCAGCTATTAACGGTCACCTTAAAGCTTACCATATACGTCTAATTGCAAAATTGAAGACTAAGGATCTACAATCTTATTAACGACCCTGTCTGCAGTTATCTTAACTATCTCCTCTGTCTTTAAGAGCCCCTTAAAGTGGCACCGTCACATTAGATTTGGGAGCACAGCATTACAAGAACTGACACAACAGCAGCAAAATAAAATGTAAAACCTGCATATTGAAACATGAGCATCTATTCTCCGTTCAGAAGCAACACTTGCTTTGCGCACATCTTCCGAAGTGGACACCAACTTTGGGAAGACACAAGATTGGACCAGCGGGAATTGTTGTGCTTCCAATTCTGCCAATGGTAATATAACATTCTTATATGTGATCTGCAAATTTTACAAGAACCAATATTGAACAAATCCAAATAACAAAAAATATACCCAAAAGAATGAAGTTTTGGAACAGATATTAGTCCCTACTTGCTTCAAATTAACAGGTCTCCTATCTGAAATTTAATGTAACATCAGCTATAATATTTAGTGTCAACAATTTTATATATATATATATCCCACAGTCTCAATTGAAACAAAAGCCAGTAATTTAAAACAAATGAGCCGTGATTCGACTTGACCATGAATTAAAATTACACTCAAAATTATGCAACAAAAACATAAATACTAATAATGGAAGTAATAGACATGTCCTGAGAGTGGGTTGCAGTACCTTGTCGAGGGGAATTGAAGCAACTGCGTCATGAACCTCCTTCGATTTGCCGATGATGCGGTCCGCTAATTTATGTATTTCAGAGGCGGAGAGATTGACAAGAACATTAGACCCCGAAAGATCTGAAATAACCAAATCGAACAAATTAGTATACTATTAGACTGACACATAAATAAGTTGGATGTGTATTTCTAGAGGTGATGTATGTGTGTATATAGAGATATACAGATATATACACACGGAGAGAGAGACGAACCCTTCTTCTTGTGCTTCTTCTTTTGGGCATTGATTGCAGTGATGGCGAAGTTGACGGCTATCGCGAGCAGAGCAGCAGCTCCGGTGAGGGCTAGTAGGTTATTTCTATCCCTCTTTGATTTCGTCATTTTCTCTCTCTATTTTCTGTGTTTCGTTTTCTCTCTCACCAAACGGCAAATGCGAGGGAAATTTGGGTAGGTGAGGGCGGAAAGAAAATTGAGCTTTCAACGTCAGACCAAACGCTACTCCGTACGTTATATAATTTAAGTAGTAATATTTTTTGAAAAAAAAGGGGACGGCGAGCTTGGCGAATGAAACGGAATAATGGAAGGAGATAAGAGCTGTCAATGCCTCAATGGATTGTTTGGGTGTCATGGAAACTATATCCAACCAGGTGATTGGGTTATGCTGCGGCGGAATAAGAAATTCTAGTGCTGTTTGTGTATATGGGTATGACAGAATGAGCCGTATGACCCGCACAAGATATACCAAATTTGCTGGTGATATAACTTTATTGTACAGTTACTAGTTATGACTAAAATTAATTCGCTTGCATGTGCATGTGTCCTCTCTCAATTACATCAAAGCAATGCGGAAAAAATAACTGCACCTGTATGTAAATGGTGCATGATGTAGGTGCAACCAATTGTGAATAAATTTAAGAAAACATGTGCACAACTTTTCTCTCTCTACCCGACTTTTCTCTCTGCTCTCTTTATCCTAGCCGTCGCTCCTCGCCTTCCTCCATCTGCTTTCTTCTCACTCCCTTTTAGGGGAGTGGGGGGTCCTGATCCCGGCTACCCACTGATTAATAATATCAGCATGCTATATATAGTCTATTCCCGGCTACCCACTGATTAATAATATCAGCATGCTATATATAGTCTATTCGGTAGGTGGATTTATGTGAATAAATTTTCTAGAGTAAAGTATTTATGTTATGTTTGGTAATATTGAGTGTGATAATTCAGTGATAAGATATGTGTTGATTGTGGCAAAAGGTCTAGGTTCAAAATACCTACTCTATTACTCATTTGGAATTAGATAAATTTTAATATACAATTTGAATTAAAATTTCCTTCAATTCTAAATTTATTGATTTGTATTAAATTATTTCCATACTTCCGTAATTTGATTAATTGTATAGAGGATTAAAATTATTTCCTAGGGATTAGACTCCCTTAGCTATTAAGCGATTGGCGTCTTATATAAAATTATAAATCAAGATTCAAGTACTTAAAATTTTAAGAGCTAGAACTTTTAGTGTTTAAAATTTTAAGCAATAAACAAAAAATAATTTTATATATATACAGGGCCGGCCTGGGCCTCAAAATTTTAGGCCCATAGAGGATGGAAAAAATAAATAAATAAATAAAGTTAGGGCAAGTTTCAGACGACACAATCTGCTTCGACAAGGGCGCAGCCTCCGCTATCGCCTCAGGTGACAAGGTATGTTCATCCTCTTTCTCTCTTCTCTCTCCTTTTGTATGAATCGATCTTTTATATATGTTTCTTTCTTTCGTTCATCTCATCATTTGATTTGTTCTAACTTTGGTTCGTTTGATTCGGGCCTTTACCTTTGTTCCAATAGTGAAAAGTAGCTTCCAAACTAGGGTTTTTTTTGTGTGTGTGTGTGTGTCACTGTGTGTGATGGCTATCAAAAGCTGAATGAATATATTATGGTTCTCTTAGTATTTTAATAAATTTGTGCCTTTCTACATGTGTCTTTCATGGCGATCGAGTCCATAATCTATGGCAGGCACTTTTTTTTTTTGCTCTTCCTAATTCCACTCCAATCTCACAACAGCAGCAACTATAGGTCCATGCCCCTTTTGCTCATAAGTTTTTGCATTTTCACATTCAATACTACGAAAATTAAGGATCCCTTCTAGTGGGTTGAACCGTTTTTCGATCTCTAAATTATGCTCATACTTAAAAGTGCCAAATTAAGGGTTTTTTTTATATGAAGATACATACCACCATTATTGATGTTATTTGAAGTTGGCTCAGCTAGAATTTCAGTTAATAATACTGTCAAAGCACTTGCCATCAGAACGTACAAACACATGGAAATCAAGAGCAGGCTTTAACAAAACAAAAGTTAATGGTTTTTTTCTATTAATTTGCACAGGTCTTCTGTAGCAATGATCAATCAATCACTGCTACTAAAGTTGATTCCTCATCCTGAAATCAAGAAAAGGGTAATTGGCTCCCAAAAAACACACACACAAAGTGTAGTTAATATAAAGAGTGAAAGACAAAACTATATATGATAGTGGATGCCACATATAACCTAAAAGTCCCACTACTTCTTCAGCACTACAAGTTCAGCCTCCTATATATATATATAGTCACCTCATCTCCACATATTTTTGTCATCTTTAATCATCAAATTTTAGCACCTATATAAACAATGAATGTAAAAAAGAAGCTGCAGTTTTCTCTTCCTCATTTCCACTTTTGGACTGTATTTTGGATACTCTGTTTTGTCTTCTCTCCTCTCCTCCAGATTCCAGTGAAAACTCCAGCCAGGAGATCATTCGACCAAACTGCTTGATTTTGGATTTTTTATTATTATTATATTTATTGTATGATCGGCAATGCTTAGTTATTATTGTTTCTGTTTGATTCTGCATCTGTTTTATGTTAATTGTGATCTTCTTTCACATGCTAACAGGACACTCTTATTAGGATCTCATGAGGTTATTTGCCTTGAACTTGAATCAAATCATTGCATATTGAGTAATATATATTTTCTTTAAACAAAGCAAATTATTATTATTATTTTATGAGCAATACACAAATAGAGAGTTTAGTTGAAGATTTGGTGATGAAGAACATATGAATGCAAAAGCAAATGAAGAAAATCTCAATAAACATGAAGATTTAATGAATGAAGATCATAGGAAGTTAGTCAATGAACATAAAGATTTAATGAATGAAGATTATAGTTATTAGTTAGTTGTCTTATGCACAATGCACATGCGCACAATTATATTAGCTATAGAATTTGAAAACATCGTGTGAAAATTCCGCACTCTTTTAATTTTTTTTGCGCGTGTGAAACTTGAGGGCCTCACATTTGAAAGTTTGCCTAGGGCCTCTCAAAATATTTGGAATCTCAAGGCTGGCCCTGTATATATATATATTTATTTTTTAACATTTAGTGATATGTGATACCTCTATCAATTAAAATTTTATCCCATTTTAAGTGATGCTTATCATTAGTGATATTCAAATTTATCAAATGCACTTAATTGTTTAATCCGTTTTATAATAAAGCGCTAAAAATTACCCATTTTACCAAGCCAACAAGACCCAATAACCATGCATTTTCTCTCATGTTGGACCCCACAATATTTTACTAAGTTAAAAGCATTTTCTCTGTAAAGAGAGAGGGAGTCTATTTTGCATTTTTAAGACTAATAGAAAGAGAGAGATGTGCAATTGACATCTAACTACAATGATATGTGTGAATCAAGATAATTAATTTATTTTTGTTCATGAATTAATTATGATGTAGATTTTAATATATATACATATTCTATTATCTTTAGTTATTACTTGATTTGTCAGGGCTAATTAGAGAGGTTGATTAGAATTGAATTGTTTTACTAAATTTGCAACACTTTTGTTAAATATAAAAAAGAGAACTTAATAATAAAAGACTAATAAGTACATATGTTATTTTACTTATATTTTAGAATGAAATATTTTATTTTTTGGGTCAAAATTTTTTATTTTTTATTTTATTTCAATAAATAGAATGAAACATATTAATATGGAATTCTACAACTACATTGGATTTAAGTAAACTATATTATTTTATTAATCATCTATTACATGTGAATTCTTAAGTTAATTTGGCTACATGAACTTCTTTTTTTTTTTTAAATAACGAAAATATATTAGCATTAATATTTTAATTTTATATTTATTATTTTGAATTAAATTATTTAATAATACTATTATTGTCAAAGGTAGGCCCCACCGCCACTGTTAAAAAACTTAAGTTTAAATTGTTAAGTACCCACTCTTATGAGCAACAGTCTTAAATATTTATATGTTTTGGGCTACATCTGAAATGTTTTTTATTCGGCAAAGCCCAATCCGTGTATTGAGCCTGTTAAGCAAATATCACATTAATACAAGCCCAGTAGCTCTGCACACGTTAACAAGCAATCCCTACAGTTTTGGCTTCTAACACAGAGACAGCCCATTGAAATAGAAGAGAGCGCAGAAGAAGCTCACACAACACGGCCATGGCACCCAGGGCTAAGGAGAAGCCAAAACCCTCGAAACCCTCGCCATCGACGGCAGCACAGCCGACCATCGCCATCGAAGATTTGTTTACATCTCTCAATCGACACATCCAACGATCAGAGTATGGGCCGGCGATCAAAATCACGGATCAAGGTCATTACATTTACACTTATATCTATATATCCATATGATTTTTCCTTCTCAACTGCTTGATATATATATGTGGAAGTATGAAATGTTTTTGATTTGCGAATTAAACACCTGTTGGCAGTTCTCGCAATTGCCCCTGGCGATGAGGACGCAATTCGATGCAAGATCGTGGCATTAATCAAGGCTGACAACATTGACAAAGCTCTTTCAGCAATCGAGTCTTCTCGGAGGCTTCCCATTGATTTCAGTTTCTTCAAGGTAATCCATTCTAGCATCGTCCAGCATTTCAATTTCTTCCTTGAATTGTGTTGTCTTATCCGTTGGGTATCATTTGGTACTTATTTTTTCATATTATGCGGCTTGCAAAGAATGAATGTTGAGTTGTTGTGCTTTTAAACAATTTCACGTTCACTTGCTTTTATATTTATGCTATTCTGATTCAAATCATCTGCAACCTATATGTTCTGTGTTGCTATATATACTAAAGCTATATAAAAAGCATTCTATAATGCAAGCATCTAAGAGGAAAATCCATTTTGTAGGTCAAGTTTATTGAGTTAGACTTGGTATTGCTATTTATCACAAGATGGCTTCACTATTTTTCATATTACAAGGAATTTGATTTGGACGATATGGTTGCATCTGTATTCTCAAATTTGGGTTTCTAGGAGATAAATAAGCCTCTCTACAATTATTGATTACCGAATAGGAGCCAAAGTTTGTATTCAAATTTGACCTCATTTAGGAGGTTGGAGCTTTATTGCATTTCAATACGGTTGGTCTGCCTAATTATTTACCATCCTAATGCCTTTTCTCACAATGGCGATGACCTTACCGTCATGACTAACCTCTCCATTACTTATGCAAACATACATGGAAGAGTTATACATCCAAATCACAAATTTAAAATCATATTTATAAATTATAACGTATCATTTACCCCAGGCATGAATTAGTATTATTTATGAAAGAGAAGCATGTTTTTTTCCAATTTTTCTTAATCTTCATTTACCATCACAAGTTAAGGATTTCTTTAGTCCTATGTGACATGCCGATCACATCTTTACCTGTTTTTTTGAATTAATAATATGTTGAACTTTTCAATATCCCGTCATAGTTTGTTGAAGGGTTTAACTATTTTTTCCTCTTCTTTTTTTTTTTTTTTCCCCTTGTGAACTCGTTGTTTCTATTGATGTGCTATGATTGATTGAGTCACTAGTTGTTATTCTTACCAACATTATTTCAAGAAATGTCTGCAAATGCATTGTTAGATGGGGAATTTTAACCAAGTGAAGAAGAGAAAAACCCACAGGCTTACTTTGTTCTAATTAGCAGGGAACAAGAAGGATCCCTGCATTTTAGGTACTTTCCTGCAGATTGCAATAATGAACTATGTGTGCTCATCTATCTCACTATTTTTCTGCTTCCTTTATTGCATTACTCTAATGCCGTCCACTTTGTTCGAGCTTGTAAGCATTATCCAAGAATATGTTATATGATACATCCATTTAGTGGTATTTTTGTCTGTACCCTTGTATTTGTTCAAGTCAAAATTACTCATGTGCTTCATCAGATTATTCTATGTTTTGTTCTAGAAATTGTTTCTTAAACATGCACGTAGATATTTGTAATTGACATGTTTCTTTCTTCATCCTTTTTCATTTCTAAATAGGCATACTGCTTATACAGACAAAATAAACTAAGTGAAGCTTTGGAAACCTTGAAAGGCAAAGAGGAAAACTCTGCGACTATGTTATTAGAATCTCAGATCCTATTTCGCTTGGGAAAGGTGGATGATTGTATAGAGATTTATGAAAGACTTCAGAAATCTAAGATCGACTCATTAGAGATAAATCTCGTTGCTGGTTTGGTTTCTGCTGGGAAAGCTTCTGAAGTGCAGGGGAAGATGGAGGCACTCAGAGTGAAAGCAACCAGCAGCTTTGAGTTGGCATACAACACAGCTTGCTCATTGATTGAAATGAACAAGTACACAGATGGTGAACAACTCCTACTGTCAGCTCGAAGGTGATCCTCTATTTGCACAAGGAATTGGTTAAACCTAGCAGTTTGCTTTATAGTTACTGAATGTTTAAGCACTTATATTCTGCTTTTTTAAAGACTTTGAATTGGATGAGCTTCATTAATTCATTACAGCTATGCAACATTCTTTTTTCTTTTTGAGAAGTAACTACTCAATGCTATGTAGATCTATTGTTTCCTGAAATTTGGTTGGAATCATGTTTTAATGACATTCTCTAGAGAAGTTTCTTTAAAGGGTTGTTAGTGTTCCTTCTACTTTTTGGCTTCTGTTTCTTTTACCATTCTACAAATGGAAAATAAAAACCTCTATTAGGGTTGTTAGTGTTCCTTCTACTTTTTGGCTTCTGTTTCTTTTACCATTCTACAAATGGAAAATAAAAACCTCTATTCAGGAAAAAATAAAAATAAAATAAAACCTCTTGACGTGGTTGATGAAGATTGAGTTTTCCATATGAAATTCAAAATAAACTCTTTGAATGCTAGCATATTTTTTCAGGTCAGAATTGGACAGGTGATCAATAAACTCTTTGAATGCTAACAACTTCCTTTTTTTCTTTTTTTCCTGAGGTCAGAATTGGACAGGAATCACTAATGGAAGAGAATTTGGCTGATGACGAGATAGAGATTGAATTGGCTCCTATTGCCGTCCAGTTGGCATATGTTCAGCAGGTAAAATACCAAAATGCATATGTTTTCCCTTTTCATTTTGCTGTTGTTCAGTCGGCATTAATGGAAATTACCTTATTTCTTCAGCTCCTGGGACACACACAAGAAGCAAGTGGATCTTATACGGATATCATAAAACGAAATATGGCAGATGAATCATCGGTTGCGGTGGCAATAAACAACCTTATTGTATTGAGGGGTCCAAAAGATGTATCTGATAGTCTGAAGAAACTTGACCGTCTCGTAGAGAAAGGCAATGGGCCACAGGGCTTCCAGCTTGCTCGTGGACTTGATTTGAAGCTTTCACCAAAACAAAGGGAAGCAATATACACCAACCGGGCATTGCTTCTACTTCATTCTAATAGGATGGATCAGGTCTTGTATTTCTATCTTGCATGTCACTCCGTTTTTATTTTTATTTTTTTGGCTAGTAAATGAGATGGGGTTAAAGTTATGTGTCAATGATGAACCTCGCACTCTTACCCTCTCGGGGATCCCATTTTTCTTTGAATACTAACTATAGACGAATTTTTTTAGGCTCGAGAACTTGTTGCTGTGCTGCCCGACATGTTCCCTGACAGTGTGATGCCAGTACTGCTTCAAGCTGCTGTTTTGGTCAGAGAGAACAAGGCTGGAAGAGCTGAAGAAATACTAGGGCAGTTTGCAGAGAAGTTCCCGGATAAGTCTAAGGTGCTTCTCCTTGCAAGGGCACAAGTTGCTGCTGCTGCTAGCCACCATCAAGTTGCGGCTGAGTCCCTGGCAAAGATTCCTGAAATTGAACACATGCCTGCCACTGTTGCCACTCTTGTGACTCTTAAAGAACGTGCTGGAGATATTGATGGTGCAGATGCTATTCTGGATTCAGCAATCCGGTGGTGGTCAGATGCAATGACTGAAGACAACAAGCTCAATATCATTATGCAAGAGGCAGCTTCTTTCAAGCTCAAGCATGGACGGAAGGAGGAGGCTGCCCGTTTGTTTGAGGGTCTTGTTAAAAGCCATGGAAGTATTGAAGCTTTGGTTGGGCTGGTTAGGACAGCTGCTCATGCAGACATTGATAAAGCAGAAGCTTACGAGAAGCAACTGAAACCGCTGCCTGGTCTGAAAGCAGTTGATGTGGATAGTTTGGAGAAGACTTCTGGTGCAAAACATGTTGATGTGGGAATCACTGAATCGTATGAAGCTAAGAGTAAAGAGAAAACAAAGAAAAAGAGGAAGAGAAAACCGAGATACCCAAAAGGGTTTGACCCAGCGAACCCAGGTCCTCCACCAGATCCAGAACGGTGGCTACCTAAGAGGGAGAGATCTAGTTACAGGCCGAAAAGAAAGGACAAGAGAGCTGCTCAGATCCGGGGTTCGCAAGGTGCAGTGACTAAAGAGTCTGTCAACATTGTGAATTCAAAATCAAATCAATCTAATTCGAAAGGATCATCACAGCAGGATGCAGCTGTAGAGCAATCAAAACCTTCGTCATCCAAGTCTTCTAGGAAGAAGTCTAGAAAATAACTTCGGAAAAAAAAATTATTATTTTTTTTTTAAAAAGTTGATTTTTCTTTCTTTAAATCATTCATACTTGAACGATCTGTTTCGGTGTCATTAGGGACCAAGATAAAATTTTGGAAATTTTATCACTGGCCTGTGTTTTGTCGTGTTTATTTCATTTTGTGGCATTAAAGACTCTATTTGGCAACAGGTAAGGCCTTAGGTGCTATTTAATAATAATGATTATTAGTTTTTGGTTCTATCTTGGTGTTTTTTCTTCATAATTTGGCTATGCTTTAGCGATGGAAAAGTTTAAAGCAATATCTATCACCACTGCAATTTTGTTAGGACCACGTGCAATTGAATCATCTTCTCTTCATTTTTCGTAACTCCATTCACCTTATCGTATCTAATCCAAGTTTGGGTTAGACCCATTATTCAATTGGAGCTCTAACTCCTTATTCTTCTTCCTTTTATATTTTTGGGCCACCAAAAGAACATTTATCAATAAAAACTAATTTGAAAATTTACATTGTGTGTTCAAACTATACCAAACCTTATAGACGTTTTTTTATTCTCCTCCACCAGAGACTACCAAACTTTAGTCCTCGAGTCATTTTTCCTCTTTTATTTATTATTATTATTATTTTCCGAGTTGCCCAAGCATCTGAATGTGTGATAAGAAACTCTGTATAGTATTTGAAAACTAAAGGAATTAAAATATAGTGATGCTTATTTGTCAAGCTGTCCATTTGATATCCCAAAGTCCTTTATTCACTATTCTGAGTTGCTTTATCTTTTTTATATTATAAATGACAATGCTTTATGAATACTTGCTCCTCACACTGAGGAATTTCTAAACCACCCCACGATACTTGCACATTAAGTTCTCCATGGGTCATCTTCCAGTCACGTTGTATGACCCGGTGAACTTTCCTTGGAATTAGAATCCACTAGGCAACTTCATTATGGACTTTTACAATACAACCTTCTTCCCGGAAACGGGTCGGATCAATTAACCCCGAATCAGGCCAAGGCTAGTCAGATAAATTACACCACCGGGTCAAACTTCGCGACTCTTAAGCAAGCATACTCTTGTCTCTAGTACAGCAACACACGCATTTTCCGGTTTAAGCTATTGCATAGGGACACCGTTGATGGTTAATCTACCAGTGGTAGCCCAAAAAAAAATAAAAAAATTAACAGTGGTATTTATGTTACACTAGTAATTTATCACATTACATTTAAGTAAGGAAGATCAAATCTTAGTTCATTACACCAAAGAATAACAATTTCTCGTTTTTTCAACAAAAAATTTGAAATTTCTAAGCCTTGAGCATTGTGAGTGTGTAAACATAATTTTTATCAGTAAAAACAATAAAATAAAAATATTAGTCCTTACAAATCTAATCATTAGCAAAACTCTAAATATTACATTAATATGAACTTATATAATCAAGACTTACAAATCAACTAATAGTAAGAGGTCTAGTGTGTGTAAAAAACTAAGAGATGTAAAAAAAAAATAAGAGACTAATAGAGCAACTAAACCAATGATAATAATGATATATGATTATTCTTTATATAATTTGACATTTTTAGTTACTCCAACAATTTATCTCAATATTTTTATTTTGGTCACACGAAGGAGTATATGACCAATGTTTCAATAATTTTCAATCATTGCACAACTTCTGCAATTAAATTCATTGATATGACTATGTGGATGTGTGTGTATATATACTGTATTTAAGTATGTAGAGGAGGAGTTTATTGGTTTATGAATTATGATGTACTCCGAAAGCCAAGTGGCCGGTAAATCCAAGCGTTAGAGCGATAACGTAGGGGCAGTACCGATAGAGGATTTCGTCTCCCGCCACATCTTATAGCGTAACGACAGTCAACTCTTTTTTGCCTGACACGTGTCCGTTTTCCCGTCACTCTGTTTCTCTCCTAATTTCAACATTATACAATACGTAAATATATTATTTACAAAAAATACGTATATATAAATATATATGTATATATATACATACCCCTTTTAACAATTATCTCTCTCTTCCACACTCGTTTGGTTTTTTTTTTGGGTTCCTTCTCTCGTTTCCCTGAACTCCATCGACAGACACATTGCTCTTTGGATCGAATTCTATCATAGAAAAAGATTTGATTTTTCTTTCTTTTTCTGTCAAACTTTCCAAATCGAAGCACCCACTCGCCAGAAGAATCTTCATCAATCTGTCGACTGCGTTCGCCGAGCAAAATTAGGGTTTCGTTTGGTGGTAATCGACTCGTTTTTTTATGATTGATTTCATTATCCTTTGAATAGGTATTCTTCATTTATTTCTCTATTTATTTTTATTTTTATTTATTCTTGTTTGATGATATTCCACTTTCTTTGTATTCGAATTCTTTGCAATCCCTAGTTTGATTGGTTTCCTATCTATGAAGTCGTTTTTCGATTACTTTCTTAGCTGAAAGTAGGTTCTTTACAAGAAACTCTGTGAAATTTTAGGTGCGTTGTTTTAGTTTGTCATCAAAAATCGAGGGTTTTCTTGTTGGATCTTCCTTTGTTTATATCATAATCATTACGTTCATATCTGTAAATCTCTTCGTTTTCTTTGATTTTTTTTTTATAAAAAAAATTATTGAAAAACTCCTGATGAAATCAAGGGTTGTTTTGAGTTAAAGATTTGGTTAGACACGTTTAGGATGACCTTGAATTTTTCGCATCGTCCTGTCTTTCCGGCCCATTTGTCTGAAGACAATTTTGTTTCGCCGATGAGGATTGCTGATGGGTATCTTGTGGAAGGGATTCCCGAGAGGAACGAGGACAGTTTTGTTAGGCCGTGGCATTTGAATCGGGAAGTTGAGGATTGCCTTGATTATGGGAGGGATAGAATTGATAGGGGTGGCTCGCCGGAGTCGGTGTCTAAAGACATTCTTGATCTATTACCTTCAGATCCTTTTGGAATGGGAATAAGTAGTACTTTTACAGCAATTACGGGTTGGCTTGAGGATCTGGAAGTGGACTATAACAGCATTGGGGCAAGAAAAGAAGATTACGATCTACTTGCAGGTTTGAATTGGATATGGAACAAGGCTGTGACATTTCAGGCATTTACTGGCAACATGCAGTTTGATGAAAATTCTAATACAGTTCGCTCGATTGGTGGATGTTCTCAGGAGAAGCAGCTGGAAAATGCAATGTTCCAGGGAAGTTTTGCGTCTGCTTGCTGTGTACAGGATATTGTGAACACTGTTGACCAACAAGTTGGGAAATCTCAAGAGGGTTCAGGAATTTGTTGTGACAAGGATGGAAGGACTCCTCACATGGCTTTGCCTTTTGCCCTTAGTTTTTTGGGGGTGAGGGATCTTCTTTCTATGGAAAGGGTTTGCGAATCTTTGCGTTCCATGGTTCGAAGTGATCCCCTTCTTTGGAGGAGTATCCACATAGATCAACCATTGAATGAGAAGATCACTGATGATATTCTTTGGGAATTAACCAGCAGGGCTCAAGGTAACCTGCAATGCTTGAGCTTGGTGGAGTGTCCGAGGATCACTGATGATGGTCTGAAGCATGTACTTGAAACTAATCCGAAGTTAACAAAGGTCAGTAAGAGTTCATTTGATCGATATTAGCTCTCACAATGGTTCTTGAATCTCTGTTAATTATTTGCATGCAATACATATTTGTGGTTATCACGGGCAATCCTCTGTGGATTAACTGTTTATTTATTTATTATTTATTAAGTAGCTGTTTTTCTTTTTCTCCTTTGGTGGTGGGGCTCAATTTTGGTTCATTATTTGGTTCAGTATTTTTAACATTGCTGATTTAAAACAGAACAAGAAACTTTAGTTTCATTCGCTCCTTTATGGAAGATGCCCAGGCCAGCTTTTTGTTTGAATACATTCAGCACGGCTTGCTTGTAGATATGATCCCTCAAGAACCATTTTTTAACCAAAGCTGGTTTGTTTAAAGCTTGTAGTCCTTAATCACGTGTTTAAAGTTTTTCCTGTATTTATGATCTTCCCCCCCCCCCCCCCCCCCCCCCCCCCCCTCTCTCTTTTTTTTGGTCATGAATTTACTTTTCTACCATCTGTACTTCAGCAACAAGATGTTTCTTTTTTGAGTTGCCTCTTGTATGAAACTGACTAGCTAGTCTTTATGTGGATCTGGCTTTAACAATGTTGATGATACTTAGTATTACTGGGTTCAAGATAGAATAGTAACTGAAACAAAAGCTTGCAAAATTTGTCAGATAAGGAACGGGAAACATTATATATTTTCCTATTACTTGTTACATTAACTGATCCTTTTCTGCATGTAACTTTACAATTCAGTTAGGGTTGGTTTCATTGTCTATCAGCTGGTTGAAACACGAATGTGATCAGACTAAATCAACTTATCTTGATGTCAGGTTGGTTCATGTTAGTTGAATGATTGGGATTACTAAAGTCAACCTCATTACCCTTTTAATTTCAACTTAAATCAGGAATCTTGTAGTTGCAAACATCTTTTGTATATTTGGAAGAGGATTGATTTAGTGTGTATGAATTAGTCTTGAAGACTCAGTGCCATAAATATTAATTTGAATGGAACTGACTTTGTTCCTTTTTATTTTATCTTATTATTATTATTTACTTATCAAGTGCTTGAAGAACAAAATAACACCTAACTACCTAAGGTTGGTGACTTTGGTTTTGTTGAGTTGGTTTTTTGTTGGCACTCCAAATTAACTTGCATTGTACAGTCATATTTGACAATTATACTGATTTAAGGCCAGTGAAGTTTGACCCTCTGTCACTTGTGCTCCTGTATCCATTCTGGACTGAGCATACACTAGTTTTTACAAATCCTCATTTATTTTCCGGTGGGATGGAGTTTGTTTGTTTGAGCTCTACTTCAGTTGCTGTGTGCTTTAGGCTTTGATAAGCTGCTAATTATTTTGTTGCTTAATGCAGCTTTGTGTTCCTGGATGTACGAGACTCAGCATTGAGGGCATTGTGAATAGCTTAAAAGCTTTAAAGTCTAAAGGTTCACCAGGGATAAAGTACCTTAGAATTGGTGGGCTTTATGGCATAACAGACCATCATTTTGAAGAGTTGAAGTCTATGCTGGGCACAGATAGGACCACACCACAAAATGGACGCAAGCCACATTTCTATCATAGGGGGAACTTCTATCTTTTGTGTGATGATGATCGCGCTATTGATATTGAAGTATGCCCAAGATGCCAAAAATTAAGGCTAGTCTATGATTGTCCCGCCGAGGGTTGTCAAGGGAAAGATTGTGTCACTCAGTTGTGTAGGGCATGCACACTCTGCATAGCACGGTGTGTTCAGTGTGGCCGGTGCATCAACGACAGTGAATATGAAGAAACATTTTGCCTGGAATTTCTTTGCTCAGGTTGTTTTAAGCAGCTGCGTAAGAGCCAAGCAAGGCAAGATAAAAAAATTGGGCTTGCTAAGAATGCTGTTCTCGACAAGTCAAGTGATAACTTCTGTCTTCATGGCTAGAGGCTGATATTGGTTTCTGTTTTCTGGTTTCGTGTTATGGATGAATGGATGAGGGATTGCATGTTTTGTTATTCAGATATCTTATTGAGAAATACAATGCGTCCAGTGATATTGTGGCTCCCTCTCTGTGTACTGTTGCCTCTCTTTGTGTTTGCTGGGTGGAGCCTTTTAGTGAACTTTCTTTGTCGGGATGCATTGGGGATAAAGTATAATTGAAACCAATTTTATGGCTTTAAGTGAAAAGGATGGAGGAAAAAAAAGAAAAAAAAAAAAAAAAAAAAAAGTAAAGAAAAGAGAAAAGGTGACTTATATTTGAAGAAAGCGGAAAATTTCAATGAGGTTTTGGACCTCGTATTTTGTTCCATATGAACAGCTGGTTTGTCTCACTGGTACCAGTTCTTAAAAGACTCCCCTGGACAACAGTGGGTTTGCCTGTTGAAGTTAGAAAGTGGATCTGATTAATGCAGCATTGTCAACGTGCCCAGTTGTTTGTTGATGTTGGTCTTATCAACTCGGAAGAGTCCAATTTGATTTGTTGATGGAAGTTGGGGAGGGGCATCATGTTACTTACAACAGCATTATTAATGGTGAGAGTACCGTAGCGGAGAGGAATGTTGTGTGTTTTGTGGTTTTAACAGCGGGCATTGTTCTGCATATGCTTGTATGCAACCCCGTTGAAGGTCCCAGAAGGCAGTTATTGGGTAAGTGGGATGCTTGAGTCATTTGAATAACGGAGAATATGGTCTCTCCACTATGTATCAAGATAGAACTGTTGATGCAATGGTGGTTCCTGCTTGCACGCACATTATTCTCCGCGTTACTGAAGATGGAGCCACAAATTTAGCACTACATTTCATGCTGGAGCTGGGGAAGTCGATTATCTTATTGCATTTGTTATTGTGTTCGAATTATGAACTGACAATCATCTTTTACCTCATGTCAGTTTTCGTCTGTTATAATCTGGCCTCCTTTATGTTATTTTCTACTTCAATATAGGATTTTATTAACAAAGCGTTGTGACTACATATTTTCTACTATCAGAGCTTTTTTTGTTATATGAAAGTGCATTTCTTGCTGCTAAAACCACTTATTATTGTGTATAATTTGAGGCTAATTTAAGTTATTAAGGCTAATTTATACCTAATAAGATGCAAGCTATGTCGGTTGGGCTATCTTGTTGGTAAAACCATGTCCAGATAATTATTGTGTATAGTTTTTTTTGTTACTTATTTTGTGCATTTCAGTTTTTATATTTTCAATCTAACGACAAATCAAAATGTTACCAAGGGAAATAAAATCAGTGAGAGCCTATTAAATTACTGCGACAGACAGCAGCCCTTTTTCTAGTACAACCTAAATTTAGGCTGAAATAGAGAGAAGCCCATGTGATGTGGAGGTCCACCAAGCAGCATGAGACTCGTTCCGATTAGCTGGGCTCAAACTAATTGGGCTTGAGAAGATTTCTTTCGCATTCAGCAACAAGCCTGCATTCCGTCTATGGCTCCATGTTACAATAAATTATGAAATGGTCTTGGACCATGTAGTTTAATCCAACTAAGTTTCTAATTAAGAAAAGTGGACATATAAAATTTTAATGAGATATTACAAAAAAATTGACATGAACAACTTAGATTATGATCGAGTAATTTCTAATTCATCATAGTCCCAAACATCGTTTTGTTTTTGTGTTTTTATTTTAACTTGAAACAAACAAGTGTTTTGTTATATGATGTTTTGGATAATAATTGAAAGAGAAGTGATAGGTCTTCCGACTTTAATTGCCAATTACTCCTCAGAATATAACGTGGTTTGGAATGAGTCGAAGAGAAAGAGATGTTTACGAGAATTTTTTTAAGAGTTCCAGTGGGATCCAACGACGTTATATTCGTAGAATAAGTCGACAATTAACGTCAGAAGGCCTCTCATTTTTCTAATTGAAAAGGTGTTTTGTAATGTTTATTTGTTGCAAAATTTTTGGAAGCTAAAATATAAAAGCATGTTTGTTATGTTTGGGAGCACCAAATCAGTGTTTTAGATTTGGAATTGAAAGATGCCACTGCAAGTGCATAAAATCTCGGATTGAGATTGAGTACTAATATCTGATCGAAGAATCAATGCCTTCTAACTCTCAATAAAAACAGTGAAAAATGCACAATTCTTAGGAAATATTCAAAGAGAAAAGAAGAAGAGCAGATGCGGATAAAAAGGGTGTACTTTTATTCGCACTCACATGACATCAGTTTGAAAAATATCAGTTATGCTAAAATATTATGCTTATCAGTTATGCTTATAAATGTCATCAGTTTCATTAATTTGAACTTTGTAATTTTTATGTGCACAATTTAATATGTTTATTTCTTTTTTCTTTTTCTTTTTTTGAAAAATATAAAGACTAAAATATTTCTACTTTCTAGGAATTGAATTGATTTATTTTCTTAAACTTTCAATATCTGTGTTGTGGAAATTCCATTTTTTTTCTTAATCACCTAATCAATTTTTTATTGTTTTATTTTATTTTTTTGCTAAAAGGCAATTACTTCATTGAAGATTCATAGAGAAAATACAAACATATCAACTCCCGTAGACAAATTTACAACAATACAACTTTGAATACATGTACATGTGGTAGCTTCTATATATTATATTTTTGGGTATAAAATAAAAGGCATATTGCATTGAAGAACTATAGAGGAATGAAAAAGACCAAGCCTAAAAGAAGGCCATGCCCAAACAAAAGAGATGCCAAAGATTGGTTGCAAAGGGTAAAGCCCAGCCCAATCAACATGACAACAAATCTGCCAATAACCCAGTCCAGTGATTTTTTTTTATTTTTTTTTTTACAAGGCAAGAAGTGTTATAAGTTAGATTAGTAAATGCAGAAAGTCGAAGCCTAACACTCCAAAGTTCACCGGAAACACTAACTCAATGGGGTATCGAGGTATATGTAGTCCATTGAATACACACACAGCTAATTTCTCATTTGGGTGTTGATAAATCTCTACTTCGTAATTATTCTACAAAATATATAATAATTAGTTTCTTCTCACCCGTTAACGTAGACAGTTTGTAGAACCAAAGTAATTAGTTTTTTTTAAATAATTTTAGAAATCGATAACCAAACAAATTTTTGTATAGCTTTCTAAATTTTAGTTCTTAGAAAACAAACCAATGTTTTCAAAAAATTTAACCAATGAGACACGGATCTGCTTGATTTGTAACTCTAAAAACAATTATCAAGAATTGAGAAAACAAAAAATTATTTTCAGATAATTATAAAAGACAACTACCTCAAAATAGACTTTTTTATAATTGGATTTTTAAAAAACTGAATCAATTAAAAAAATTTGTATAATTTTTTGATTTTCAGTTCTCTGAGAACAAATTTTCACAATTACAAACTATTATTATGTGAATGGAGGAAATGACATGCACCAAAAACCAATTTTGTTTAATCGTTAATATTGACCCAGGTAGGTAGGTACCCTTACTTTTGTTTGGCAAGATAAGAACAAATTGAATCATATTTTAGGATGAACAAATTGACAATTCAAAGATGAACATTATAAAGAGATGTCTCCATAGATGGCCTTACAAAAAAAGGAGAAAAAATAAAAATAAAAATAAATATAAAAATAAATATAAATATAAATAAAAGGATAAACCCTAAGCCACTTTGAGTATACATGTACCAAGAAGAAACCTCGAAAGAGCTAGTCACCACTGCAACAAGACTTTTCAAAGTGGAAGTGGGTAAAGATCATCCCTTTAAAAAAAAAAAAGATTGCTGCTTTTTGGAAACAAATTTAGAAACACAAAATGGAAAGTACCTAGTTCTATTGCTGGACTCCACTTAATTAAATTCTAAATTTGACCAAATTTAGAATTGACAGCATGAAAAAAATATATATATATTATAGTGGTTACTGGTTACATGCATCCTACTACCTTCGTACTAATGAACATGGAGGATATGCATGAATGTATCTGTCCTTTATATATATGTAAGAACGAGACCAAATTTAGAATTGACCGCATGAAAAATATATATATATATGTAAGAACGAAAGGACAGATACATTCATGCATATCCTCCATGTTCATTAGTACGAAGGTAGTAGGATGCATGTAACCAGTAACCACTATAAAATTCAATCCTTATCCAAAAAGGTCATCTTTTAGGACTCTTTATGGTACACTATTTTATTTTACTTTTTACAATAATTCTGAAGTTCACCAGCAAGAAAGTCGTTTATGTTACCTAATGGGTGTTTTCCTTGTATTTTATTTAGGAATTAATTTGAATTTTAAAAACAAGGGTTATGATATTTGCACTCTCTTTAGTTTTTTTATAAATGGGTTGTGAAATGTTAAAATTGACTTTACTATTTAATATTAAATTAGAAAATATAATTATTATTTTAAAATTATAAAAATAATATTGGGGGGTGAAAAATGAGTAATCGATAGCCAGTAAGATAACAACCTCTCATCTAACATTTATAATATTATTATAAAGGTGCATTTTTTAAATTTTAAAATAAAAATTATAACTTTTAATTTAATACTAAATAGCAAGGTCAAATTTGATATTTCACAACCCATTTAACGGGTTGGTCACGTGTTTGGGAGTGACTTAATAAGTTTTGTTAGTTCAAAATCTTTTTTTAGGATTTTATGCACGATTTTAAAAGTAGAAGAAGGTTTTATAATTTTAACCCTTATTTAAAAAATAAAATGAACAGAGTCCTAAATATATTTTGGGTTAAAGTGATAATAACCTTGTGACTAAAGAGGTTTTAGATATTTTGAAAGGGGATAACTTCTGAAATTACTAGAAAAATGCTAAACAAAATAAAAATAAAAAGAGATTTAGCACTGCCAGTTGCTGTTGAAAATAAATCATAAAACACCATGTTGCCAATAATGCATATATTAAAGAAAATTATTAATAAAGATGGTGATTTTGTATGCATGTACCTGGAGGGGTAGAAATTTTTAAGAAAATATTGAGTTCAAATCTCATTTGAGAGTTATTTTATCAATAAGTTAGAAAATTACAATCCATTCAATCCATTAAATGTTAATAATTACATTATAATCTAAGGATACAAAATATCATAGAAATTGTCTATAATAATATATTCTTAGTGGATTATTATTATAGACAATTTGATTTTACCTATGAAGCACGGACATCGACACATCACACGAGTACGATATGACACGGAGACGGCGATACAACAAATTTTAAAAAAATAGAATACGGACACGGCAAGGATACGACAATAAAATAATAATATATATTTTTATTATATATAAAATTTTAATTTCTCTTCATTTTTAATTTACATTAATAGACATGATCCATTTGAATAAAGTCCAATTCAAATTCTATTAATATGTAATATATCTTTATATCCAATACTAAAATTTGTATAACAATCTTATCTCCTTGATCTTCCCATGTTTTATTGACCATATTCTCTCTCCTCCAGAGAGAGGCCGTCTCTTCCCATTTACCACGTTTTCTTCTTTCATTCCGTCTTCGTTTAATCCACACATCATCTCTTTGTTGATTTCCTCTTTCTCTTTCAGTTTCTCTCTCATCCCCACCACTTTTTTTATTTAGAGTTGCTTTCCACTTTTCTTATTTATAGTTGCTTTTGGTTTGTTGTCTTTCATCGCCCACACAAAAAAACACATATTTCTTCACCCTCTTTTTCTTTCAAACAAGAATCTGAATATCCTCTGACGTATCTTGGACGTATCTTATGACGTGTTTGACTTGAAAGAATAAATAAAATAATAAGCCACGGATAGAAGGATTTCACACACACACACGTAATAAATAAAAGCTTCCTTCGACAACCCTTTTCACGAGTCTAAAAAGCTGGAATCCAAAATTAAAGCCAGCCATATATACTACTTTTTTATTTTTCCACAAAGAATAGACTCAACTTTTCAATATTGGCAACAAAATAGTGACTCGTTGCGATGAAATTTTAGACTTTTCATTTTAAAACTTTAACCACCT